GGGGGGGGGGGGCGGGGAGAAATCACATAAGCAATACCAAGGAATACCACGGCGGGGATGGGGATGCTTGAGGGGGATGGAAACCCCACCATAGAGGAAAGTTCTCAGGCTCGCGAACAGAAAAGCACGAAGGATGTTCGCGGTTCTGCTGTACAGAACACACGAGCTGACGGCGGCAAATGGAGGGCGGAATGGGTTCGCGAGCAGAACAGCGATTGCGTCTCGCGCGCGGTGTGCGATGTAGAGTGGGAGGTGTTAGGTGGTGGTGGGGGTGTGGTTGTGGCGGGGGGAAAAGAGCTGCGTGGGTGCGTATTAGAACATACGGGCCATGTGCCGCCACGCATCCAAACCTCCCCCGGGTGTGAGTACAGCCAACCACACAAAAAGCCAGCATATGTACGACACACCCAGCTATGCGGTGAAACCCTAGGCGTCGAGACTAAACAGCATGAGCCGGGTTAGCTGAAGCAGGCAGTACGCTGCAAGGCTCCCGCATAAACCTCCCCCGCCGGGTCACCAAGCGGTGAAATCAAGGAACCATGAGGTGTGGGTGTTCGATTCCCAGGCTCTAATACATATTTTGGAGGTGTCTTACGCGGACAATGTCATGTAGAAGACAGACGAACAAATCCAAAATGTCTCTTCACCTGCAGAGTGGCGAGCGCCTGCTCGCAGCACTTGCGAAGGAGGCGCTGGGGCATAAGGCCCTGCTGGCACCCTCCACCACCGCCTCCGCCTCCGCCGCCTGCGCTGCTTCCCAGTCCAAGGGTCGCGGCAGCCCACACGAAGTTGGCCACGTTCTGGGGGTTGAACTCGAGTATTCGCTTTAGAGCCTGCGGGTGGGTGTGGGTGTGGGTGTGGGTGTGGGTGTGGGTGTGGGTGTGGGGGAGAGCATTTTGCCGAGCAGGCAGCTGCCAATGTGGATGAGCAGGGAGGGGGGGAGTCGGATAGATGCATGTGTATGTGCGTGCAAGTGTCCCCCTCCCAACCATCCCCCCCACCGTCCCCCCCCTCCCCCAGTCCTCCTCCCCCCTCCTCCCCCCCTCCTCCCCCCCACCGTCCCCCTCCTCCCCCAGTTCTCCTCCCCCCTCCTCCCCCCCACCGTCCCCCTCCTCCCCCAGTTCTCCTCCCCCCTCCTCCCCCTCTCCTCCCCCCCACCGTCCCCCTCCTCCCCCAGTTCTCCTCCCCCCTCCTCCCCCCCTCCTCCCCCCCACCGTCCCCCCCCCCAGTTCTCCTCACCCGCCCTCCCGGCGTCGGCTCTCACCTGTTCGAACATTGCGGTCTGCAGCCCCTCGTGCACATAATTCAGATGAGCCATTGCCCACAGGGTGTTGACCAAAGCCTGCAGACCGGTGTCCAGGGAGGGCCGCAGCAGGGGAATCACCTTATATATTGTGCAGCGAGAAGCAATGCGCAGACGATCGACTGCAGATGGCGGAGGTGTAGAGGTGTGGCGGTGTGTGTGGCGGTATGCTTCCAAGGGGGCTTGGGGCGCTTGAGGTGGAGCGGTAGGACTTAAGGATGGGGGAGGGGAGGAAGGTAGGGTAAGGGGAGGAGGAAAGCACTTCGTCGCCATGAGTCAAGTGAAGATTGTGCGCTGTGTTGCTGTGGCCAATTTGTTAAATGTTGTTGTCGTGAGGCTGCGCTCGTTGGGAGTGAGTGAGAAACGTCCGGGAGTGAGTGAGCGCATGAGACTGAGGCTCATGCCCGGTGACCGACACGGGGGTGATGCGGACGGCTGCGGTTGCGGGCCGGTGGGGTTGAAAGACCCTTTACGGCAAGAGAAGGGTTGTCGGTTGCCGGTTGTGTGTATCTCTCACACGCGTCGTTGTTTTCATTATTACCAACCCGCCCATCTACCCCTCCTCCTCCTCTTACAGACACAGCTCGTGACGTTCTGTCACGTACACACGCACCTGCGCATTGAACTCGGGTACCTTGCCCACCGACCCGCGGGCCAGCTGGTCCAGCACGTGGGGCCCCGGGCTCCATCCTAATTTGGCAAGCCCCAGCAGGCCGTTGGAAATGTTTTGCGGGAGGGCCTCCGGAAGCACCTCCAGCAGCCGGGTCGTAAGGCCCTGCAGGAGAGGCTCTCCTGGGTGGTAACCTGCAACAGGGGGGAGGGAGAGTATACTGCGGTACATATATCGCAAAATATTACGCATTATGTTTATGCTATATATATAGCATATATGCAAATACATACACCCGCAAAAAAAACGGGAAATACATGAGGGGGGAAATACATGCAGCAAGAGTCAACGGAAATAACTGCCGCCGTACAAACCGGCAATTGTCGGTGGGAGGAAATCCCGTGTGCAAACCCGGAAAGGGGTGGTATATACATGCGAGAAGCGAAGTATTTGCTGCCGGCATCCCAGAGCAAAGGGGGGTAGCGGGGCGGATGTGGGGTTTTAGGGTGGGAGAGCTAGGGGGGCCCCAGTTGAAAAATTAAGTTATATAGGGATTTAATGCTTTGGGATTCTTTCCATTTTTGTTAAAGGTTTTGAGGGTTTGCAAGTAGGCAGTGACGTAATGGTAGCGGTGGTCTTCAAGCGCTACGCCATTCGGTTTTAGATATCTGCATGGGTACATTACCGTGCAGTACGGGCTTTATTAAATATCGCCACCATGATATGTGTCGTACGGCAACCCCTCTCGTACGCTTACCCAGCGTGCCGAATGCCCACAGCGCATTGCCCACGTGTTGTGGTGTGAACTGCCCCAAAGTAACAGCTGCACGGGAGCAGAGCGCATCCATCAATGGGCCGCCGCCGCCGCCGCCGCCGCCGCCACCGGCTTCAGCGGCCCCGTGAGCACCGCTGTACGGCGCCTTGGGTTTGTACCTGATCTTGCTGAGAGCCCACATGCTGTTCGCCACGTTGCGGGCCGTGAAGTACGGCATATATTCCACTACATGCCGTACATGCCATATGGGTTCATTCATCAAAGCGCGTATGCCGCAGGACGGTCGAGGGAGGATGGGGGTATGGGGGTTGTGAGTTAGGAGGGGTCACACTCGTATATGGGGCTTAGGATTTCAGTTCTCCATGTCAATTTTTTAAAGCGTAGTTGTACGGTGAGGTGAGCGGGATCCTACTCGAACGCTCTCTCCAAAGCCTTTTGAGCTCTTTAAAACCCAACGTGCTGCCCGTGCCTCATTTCGCGTTCACCCGCCGCCGCTGCCCTCTTTACCCATGCCATGTATCCCTGTCGTACAACTGCCGTACTCACATGCCATCCGCTCCAGCTCTTTGAACTGCGGATCCGCCATGAGCTGTCGTACCGCCGTACTTCCGGGCGCTAAGCCGCAGGAGCCCAGGCGGTGCAGCGCCGCCGCCACGTTGACGGGCTCGAACTGGGGACCTCGCTCGCGGACCAACTGTGCCGTAGTTGGCACATACATACATACATACAAACAACTTCGATTTCTTTACAAAAGCTACCGGATATTCAGACAGATGCGATGCACCTAGAAGAACGGAGTTAAAGGCAGAGGTGAAAGGGAGAACTCTTCTTTGGAGCAAAACGAATCCTCGTCCCAGAACGGGGCGGGGATTGTAGATTCGTTCGGAGGGGGAGCAGGGAATGGGGGCAATCTAAAGAGTGAATGGCCGTGAGCACACTCCACAACCTACAAACCAGACCAACCCCAATGAGCCCCACACAACTCCCCGTCCTCATCACTTTACTTCCGTCCTACACATACACACACCGATTCGAGGCATCGCAAACTGACGCTTATCCATTCGACAGCTCCCGCATCAATCCCTACATCCGTACATTCGTACATACCGTCAGGATGTTTTTGTAGTTTGTCCCGGCGCCCAGGATTGCTTGGTTGATGCGGATGCCCACGGGGCCGACGGCATCTGTCTGGAATGGACCCTCATCACCGCCGCCGCCGCCGGCGGGGCCCCGACGGTGGCCGCCGTACTCCGTCCGCTGCTGCCGGCCCTTGTCGCAACCCAAGGATCGTTCCTCGCCGCGATGCCGCCCAGGGCCGCCATCGCCGCTACGCTCTTCCGCCGCCGCGCTGGCGGCGCCGCGGGTTGGGAGCGCCGCCGCCGCTGACCTGCTGCCGTGCTCAGCGGCGGCGTTGCGGTACGACGGCTCTTCCCTGTCGTAGGCGCTGACGTCATCACGATGACGTGATGTAGTGGTGTGTTGAAGCCCAGCCGCCGTGGACATCCGCGCTGATACACGGAACCAGCGGGACTGCGGGCTTTGGAGTTCTTCCACCACAGAGGCCAGCGGCGGCGGCTGGTGCTGTACGTCAATCTGCCGACGGCCGCCGATCACGTCGCTGCTGTTGCTCCGCGATCGCTTGCGGCCGGTGTGCCCTTCAACAATATGCTCAGCGCTGCTGCCGCCGCCGCCGCTGCCGCTGCGGCCGCCGCTCCCCGTGACGGCGATGGTTGCGGCGCCGCTACTGCCGGCCCCGTGGCCCGGCTCTTCAAGGAGTCTGTAGCGGGCGGGCGGAGTCGACGCCTCTTCACGCGACTGGCGGCGATCCTGTGCAGGGGGGGGTAATGCAACCCTCCCGCCACCATCGCCGTCGCCACTTCGCCTGCGCTTGCAGCTACTTGGCGCACCGTAACCCTCCACTTCGCCACCGCCGCTGCCGCTGCCGTACCCATGTCCCGGCAGACCCCTTGCCTCTTCGCCTCCTTGCCCTTCCACCGCCGTGAGTCCCTCCTGCCGCCCCACGACCCTGTCAAGCTGGTACGACACTCCTGCAGCGCCCCTGCCGTCGCCGTCGCCATCGCCGCGGCCGTCGCCATCGCCTCGGCCTCCGCCGCCGCCGCCACCACCATCACCATCACCACGCGCCGGCGACGCCGCCCTCCCCGCCATCACCCATTCACCTGGGGGCGAGCCGACGGGCAGCTGCTCCCGCTCCCTCTCCCGCCAGCCGCCATACCGCCGCTCGTACGGCGCCCAATCAAGGCTGCCGCCCAGCCCTCGTACCGTGCCAGCGGCCTCCCTGCCCCTGTCTGTGTCACGTCGGGACTCTCCGTGGTAACCCCCGTCTCGATCCAGATCATGGTCATCGGCCGTCGCCTCCCGTCCCAATCCAGGTCGCCCCGGTCCCGATCCCCCCAGCTGATTTCGGCCGGCCATCATGGCGTCTTGGTGCTCCTGTCGTGCCTCTGAACGCCAATGCCGTACTTGCCGTACTTCCCGGGTCTCTTGATCCCGATAATTCCGGGTTTTGCGTGTATCCCGGCCGTCGAGCTCCTGATTTTGAACAGTTGGATCCATCCGGATCCCGTTCTCCGGGATCTTGCGATCCCGAATCGCCTGGTCCCGGAGCCCCAGATCGTCCTCCCGGATCTTCCCCCCTCGCCCTTCCCGATCATGATGCCATCGGCGATGGCCGCCGACGTCTCCATGGCCGCCATTGCCGCCACTGCGGCTGCCGGGTGGCTCCTGCCATAGCCCCCACGTCGCCTCCGCCGGTGACGGCAACGGCGGCGGCGGCGGCGGCGGCGGCGGCGGTGACGACTCCCGCGACATCCGCTGCGGCATGGTCTGACTCCGTAACCATTGGCCACGGTACGACGACGACGGCCGTGGTTCCGGAGGGTCGGTCCTGCTCGGGGGAGGGCTCTGAAACCTACGCTCCTCGTCCTTTGGTGGTACAGCCCGCGGATAATGCCGCGGAGTGTGGCCTGGCGGCTGCTGCTGTTGCTGCTGCTGCAGCGATGGCGGCGGTGGCGGCTGCCATGACGACCCCGATGGCAGTGGCGGAGGCAGTGGCGGCAGTTGGTCTCTGTTGTGAATGCCTCGCTGAATCTGAGGCGAATGATCGAATATTGAACGGTTTGCAACATTCTGGGAAGCTGGGTTTTGGCCCGTGTCCCTGGCCCTGCCTCTGTCCGTGTCGTCGCCATCTCTAGCCCGACTTGCGTGTGGTTGCGGGTACGGATGGGGGTACGGATGCGGGTACGGATGCGGGTACGGATGCGGGTACGGATGCGGGTGGGAAAGCGAGGGAGACCGTGGGAGGCATCTGGATCGTGGCGGGCTGCGAGGGCTCGATCGCGGCGTGCTATACCGTGGTGGGCTCCGGCGACCTGCGCGATGCGGACTACGAGTCCCGGCGTGCGGCTCCTCACGGGCGCCATACAGGGGGCTGTACGGCGGCTGGCGTTGCCCCTGCCGCGCCGCGGACTTCCTCTCCTGCTGGCGCTGTAGCAACGTCGGCGAATGGCGGACGTGCGGCAGCACCGCGAACCCGAGGAAGCGGGGGGACCCCGCTCCGTGCTCCGCCGAGGCCGCGCCGCTGGCGGCACTGATGCCGCTGACGTAGCGGGGGGCTTGCTCGTCCTCCCGGTGGCGGCCTAAACGATGCTCCGACGGCGGCGACGGTTCCAGGTGTTGAGGTAATTCCTGCGGCTTCCAGATGTCTGCAACCTGGCGATCCAGCCTGGAGCCGACGACTTCTTTCTCCTCCCGCCGCCCGTTGCCGTCGGCGCCCTCACCGCAGTGAAGGCCAAGGCGGCGGCCGCGGTCAATGTCTCCCAAGACGAGCTCGGATTTCCGCGCTGGTGCTGCCATTTCTACCTCCTCCTCCTCCGCCGCCGCCGCCGCCGCCGCCGCCTCCTCTTCCGCTTGGGCTTCTTTAAGCATGTCGCTGCGGCTGGGCACGCAACCGTCGCCGCCGCCGCCGCCGCCAATGCCAGTACGACCCACATCCCCCATAACAATGGCTGCCGCTGCCGCGGCACTAACGTCCGGAATAATGTCTCCGCCACTCCTCGATCCATCTCCCAACCTCCTCGCGCCTGTGTCGCCGCCGGAAGGCCCTTGTCCCTCCTCCTCCTCCTCTTCCTCCTCCTCCTCTTCCTCCTCCTCTTCCGCTCCCTTGTTCTCACCCTCCTCCCCCTCCCCCTCTCCCTCCTCATCCTCTCTGCACCGTAGCCCCTGTCCATACTTTCCTTGCTCCTGCCCTGTCACCTCCCCTTCAGCCCCCATATAACCCGTGGTAACCTGTCGTGTGGCAGCAGCCCGCACTTGTCCTTGATTACGTGTCCCAAGTCTATCCTGCTGCTGGCCCGGTAGCTGCAGCACCCCTATCTGCTGCTGGCCCGGTAGCTGCAGGGGCTGCTGCGATGGGAGCGCCAGTAGCACCCCCTCAGATGATTGCAATGGCGATCCCACAGACGTGATCTGCTCTCCAGGAGTAGCAGCGGGCTCAAGAGCAAACGAAGCAGCAGGCGTCGGCATGGGTGCGTCCTCCCGCCGCTGCCGCTTCCGACCCTGCTCTCGGTCGGCCACTAGCTCTGGCCCTGGCTCATGTTCGCGTCGTTCACAGGATAGCCCTTCGTCGTGCCTTTCAAGCTGGACGTGGGCATATAGGTGCATACCACCTCCCATTAGTGGATGAAGCGGTGACGGTGACGGCGGCGGCGGTCCTGGCGGCGGCTCCATCACGTCGCGCTCAGTTGGCTGTGCTAAGTGCGAATGCGAGCTCTGCTGCTGTGCGGGGCGAGTCAGGTCTTTCTGGATCTGCTGCTGTTCCTGCTGCTGCAATCCTTGCTGCTGCAATTCTTGCTCTTCTTGCTGATGTTGTTGCTGCCCCTCCTGTTGCTGTCGCTCAGGTCGCCGCCTGTCGCGCGCTGGCAGCGGACTTTCTTCAGCCTCTAGGGCAGGCCCCTGCACCGGACCAGGCAGCGCATCCCGGGCCCCTGGAGCCAGCTCTTGTGGTGGTATGTGCGGGGGCGAAACACCGTGCGTCCGCACCGCGCACTCGCCACGTTGCTGCTGCGGCCGCGCCGCGGCGATACCCCGAGGCGCGGCCTGGCCACGTCGCTGCCCGGCGGCGCCCGCATGCTCAAGGGAACCCGCCGGCATCCGGCGACGCTCTCCCTCCTGCACAAGTTCCGATTGCCGTGAAAAAATCCGCGCGGGCCACTTAGCTCGGAACCCGATTGCAGGGGCGGAGTCCTGGCCGCGTCGGCACCTGTCCAACTCTTGGCCCAGCACTCCTTCTCCCTCCCTCCCCCTCTCCCTCTCCCTCTCCCTCTCCCCCTCCCTCTCCTTTCCACGGTCGTGCTCCGGGTTCCATTCTTGTCCTTGGTGGTGTCGGCCTCGGTCCGGACTTCCCACATAGAAACTGCAACTGTCCACGCCCCTGTCCGGGGGTGGGCCCCGGTCCCGGTCCCGATCCCTGTTCAATTCCCAGACCTGTTGTTGATCGCATCTCCGTTCCCTGCTGCGGTCGTCTCGATCGAGACCGCGTCGCTCGCGTCGGGCTGACCCTGGGTGGTGTTCCGGGTGGCAGCGCTCAGGACGAGCAACTTGTTCGGGAACCAGCGGCACATCTCCGTGTGACGTAGCTCGACGATGCCGGTCCCGATTACGATGTGGAGGGCGCTCCCGGTCTCTGTCCCGCTCTCTCTCCCGCTCCCTCTCCCGCTCTCTGTCCCGCTCCCACTCCAGCTGATCCCGCTTCCGCTTTTGCTGCAACTGCCATTCCAAATGCCGCTTCCGCAGCAACTCCATCTCCCGCTGCAGGTACGCTTCCCGACCCGGATCTCGCTCCGGATCTCGATCCAATCCTCGATCTCGATCTCGATCCGTAGCCCGCCTCGATTCCGGATCCCATTCATAATCGTGGCCACACTCGCAATCTCGTTCATTACTCGGACGGGCAGCCAGGTCTCTCGGTTCCGGGTAGTCCTGGAGTCGCACCACAGCAAGGTTGCGAAGGTCGTGTCCGGGTTGTGCCGCTCGCTGTTGCCCCTGCAGGCCTTGTCCATGTGCGTCATGGCCTTCTCCAGCTGCTGCTACTGCTGCGGCTGTTGTTGTTGTTGCTGCTGCTACTGTTGTTGTTGTTGTTGTTGTTGTTGTTGTTACTACCGGAGCCTGCTCGGGGCGTTGTTGCGGTTGCTGCATATCCGGGCGACGGACGTCGTGCTCGTGATGGCCAGGTTGCGGCCCTGGTTTCCGCAGTTGCGGCTGCGGCTGTGGAGGTGGGTGCGGATGGCTGTGTAGCTGCGGTTGCAAGGGACCAGGCGCCACTAAAAGGCCTTTCCTCACACGTTCCAGGCACACCGCCGCCGCCGCGGACGCCATCGCCTTTGCCTCCGCCGCCCCTGACGCCATCGCCTTTCCCCCCATCGCCCCTGATCCCACTGCCTCTGCAGCCGCCGTATCCGCTAGCGCCGTCGCAGCCGTTGGCAGACCTGACGGCAGCCCGCTCCACTGTCGCTGCGGCGGCGACGCTGCCGCCGCTGTACCTGCCGCTGCGGCGGATGCACTCCTATCGTCATCATGATCGCCGCAAATACGAAAATAGCTCCGGCTCTGAGTCCTGTCCAGACTCTTACGCCCTTGTGTGAAACGCAGGCTAAAGTCGTCGTCTACAGTGGTTGTGGCGGTTGCAGCGGCGGCGCCGACGGCGGCGTCAGCGATGTCGCCCTGCCGCTCTGCTACGGAACCAACGTTGCCATCTCCGTTGCCACCATGCCGTTCCGAAAACAGGCCGTACTCTTGGGATGCTTTCGGGGTAGCGAGCAGCCTTTCCAATTGGTCACCGCGGTCGCCGCCGCCGTTAAGTTGCTCCGGCTGCTGCTCGCGGGGGTTGAACCGCTGACTTACTCCACGACCCTCCTGTTCCCGTTCTGCCACCCCATAGACATCATCATGCGTTTGGCAGGCCTTGCCGGAGTACGGCATACAGCCATGCCGCGGCGCGCGAGATAATGATCGTGAGCTCGGCAGCGGCGGCGGCGGCGGCGGCGGTGACGTCCCGGGCTGCCGTCGCAACGGCGAAGCCGTTTGCAAAGGTAGCGACAACTCATGCGCATCGCGGACGCCACCGTTGCTTCCGCTGCCGCCGAATCCTTTGTCGCTGCTGCTGGCACTGCGGCCTGTGCGTTGCCGCCTTCTGTTGCCCTCACCCTGTTCTCCCTTTTCCTCCCCTTCCAGCTCGCCCTTCACTGCCCATAGCTGAGCATGCAAAAGTGCGCCATGCTGGCCGCACGATTGCTGCCGCTGAGACAGTGGCGGCGCCGCGGCAGGGTCGCCGGCTGCCGCCGCCGATGCCGCCGCTCGCTCCGTCATGCCTTCTCCTGTTGTACCGCACCCTCGATCGCCGACGGCTCCGGCCTCTGCGTTAGCTGGAAGGACCGGCCCTGAGCCGGTGTGAATCTCAAGGCCTGGACCAAGTCCAGGACGCAATACCCTGATAACGGCGGCCACAGCTGCGTCACCGGCACGCGCAACAGCGCCGTGGCGGCTGCTGTCCAGTCCAGCGGCGGCGGCGGCGGCATCTTCACCCTTGATCCGCTGACGTTCCTGCTGATCTTCCTGTGGTTCGCCTCTTCCTGTATCCGACTTGACTACGGCCGCAACGGACCCTCGAGGCCCCGTTTCCTGCCGCTCCAAGGCGGAGTCGTGAGCTGCCGGAGGCTCCCAGCATATCGGGGTGTGGCGGCGGCGATGTCTGTTCGGCGGCCGGCCGTTATCATAACCATCGCCGCTGCGGCCATCGCGCGAGTTGCTGCTGCCGCCGCCGCCGCCGCCACCGCCGCCGCCACCGCTTCCGCAGCGGGGATCGCGGGGATCGCGGCTTCCACCACGAGTGCCGTAATCTTGGCCGGCCCTGCCGCAGCCGCCGCCGCTGCCGCAGCCGGCAACAGGGTCAGCTCGACGGTGGTGTTGGCGTCCGCGCTGCTGATTCTCTGTACGGCGACTGGCGCCGCCGCTGACGTGGGGATCCGCGTTCCCGATAGGACCGGCGCCATCGCGGCTAGGACCATCGCCAGGCCGTACACCTTCGCGTCGCCCCGCGTCCGTACAGTTGCCGTCACCGCGGCCGCGGTCGGCATCGCTGCGGCACACTTCACGATGACTGCCGTTGTCGTAATACCCGCCGTACACCCGGCCGATAACGTACCCCCGGCGGCCGCCGACAGAATCACACGGGCGTTCGCACTTCAGCAAATGTCCGCCATAATCATATCTGCCATAGTCGCGCCTACCATTATCGCGCCCAACATCTGTACGAGGGGCGCCGCCGTACTCATGGCGGCCCCGAACCTTATCACTCTCCCTCCCGTAACTTTGGATGTCACCAGATGTACGAGCATCCTTAGCGAGACCTCCATCGTCACGACGATCGTCGTACACGCACCGCTCCTCGGCGTCACGGTTGTGCTGCTCACGGTCCACCTGACTTCGGCTGCTGACGTACTCACGACCTCCGCGACCCTCCGAATTCCCCCCCGCTAGTGCCCCATGACTCTGGCATCGTTGACCACCTTTCCCTTCAAACCAATCCTGCCGTTGAGTCGACTGCGGCACCTGCAGGCACCTGCCCCCGCCCAGCTGCTCCCGCGGACGACTGATACGCCCAACCCGCAATCCCACAAACCCACGGCTGCCAACACCCGTGTCCGGGCCCGCGTCGGCGGCACGCAAGTACGACCGAAACACCGTGTCAGCAGGCGCCGCGGGACCCTGCTCGCCGCCTCCGGGGGCTGCTGCAACCCCTTCATGTGACGTCGCATACGCGTTGCCGGACTCGTTCACTGTGCTGCGAGTCCGCGTCCCTAGAAGCTCCTGCGGCTTCTGCTGCATCTCTTGCTGCTTAGGAGATGGTGGTGATGGTGGGTCCAAGCCATGGCCTTTGATGGTGGCGATGACGGCAGGAGTTTCCAGGTTTCCGAGAAGAGTAGCCCCTGGGGCCAGGGTAGCCGTACCACACTGCATCGTCAAGGCCACCTGCGAACACGGCAGGACCGTTCCAGATACGACATTTCCGGGCCCGGTGGCGGCGGCGCCCCCGCCCCCGCCGCCGCCGCCGCCGCCCACCGCCAAGGTATGGCTGTGTGTTCGCCTCCCTAGGTCGCTGTCCAGGTTAGTGACTAAGGACACCGTGTGGGTGGCGACAGTCCCACCGCCAGCAGCAGCGCCGGTGGTGGCGCCGGTGGTGCCAGCTGCAGGGACTCGATCCGGACCTCGGGTTAGGTCCTCGTCTGACCCGACGCGTTGGGGTCCTGGGCTTGAGGCCGGGGCGCTGCTGCCGATATTCCTGCTGCTGATGACGACGGTGGTGTCGTCAGCACCGCTGTGCAGTAGACGTTGACCTTGAATGAGTTTGCGACCTCCGTGGTCGTCGGCTTGGTGATGTTGCCGCGTACTGGTCGGTGCGGCCGCGAGCTCTCCTAGCCTCCCGCGGCCACGAGGGGAGGACTCCCCGTCGCCCCCAGGGGCCCCGCTGCCATCTTCAGTAACGTCATCACCAGAATTGTTATCTAGGTAGTCAACAGGGCGGCAGGCAGCGCTTATGGCGCCGTTAACGATCGCGGCGGCTGCGGAGAGGGTGGCGGTGGTGGTGGCGGTGGTGGTGGCGGTGGTGGCGTCTTCTGGCTTGGCTGTGCGTGGCGACGCTGATTGATCTTGCGGAGGATCGGGTAGCGCACGTCCCGTTGTGTAAAATTGAGCCATAAAGGTGGTGGTGTGGTGCTGGTGGTCCTGGTGGTTGCTGTGGTGATAATATGATGATGTGGCGTTTGGGCCAAGGATAAAATTCCAGACGGCAGTAGGAGCGACCGTGTGCGCGTGCGCAGCGAGCGCGATGTTGGAGAATCGGCTGGGCTTCAGCGCGTTGTGATAATATTGACGACGGTGAGTAGGATGACGATGGTGACCACGCGGGATATCAATGGCTGTGGTGATGATGACCGCGATAAGCTGCGTTGTTTGTTTGACTAACACTGAACAGGAACGGAACAGGTGGATGCAGACAAGCACATGTTAGTTGTGGAAGACGAAAGAATAACAGGTATTTGCAACCCTTTCCTAAGGTGCAAAGCTCTTCCAGCTGGTTGGCCGCAACGTAAGACGAAGCAGGTGTGCCGACTCCGGCCGCTGCTGCAGCTCGTAAGACATAGAAGAAAAAGTCCCCAGAAAACCTCCGCTTAGATTAACCAGGTGGTGTTGTGGTCAAGAAAGGAGCAACTTTGACCCCCTTCCCGCTTTGAAACAGGGTTGAGGACCCCTGCTTTGGAACTTTTTCAGCCGCTCCTGGCCTTGGACTTACAGGTGACAGAAAGCTCGACCGGTATCTCTGAAGCAAGTGGAGGTATATTGGATTGAACAGAGGCTTGCGAGATGAAAGCCAGAACCAGTCTGACCTTGGCTTGATGGATCTTGATGGAAATAATGATGGCGTCCGGGGAGAGCGCCCTGAGCTGAAAGTCACAAATGACAGGTCTATGAGCCTCTGTCAAAATTGCATGCTTGGGTCAACTATTCGCTTTGGGAACTGGTGGCGATGATACTGCGAAAGATGCTGGCCTGCTTGGCGGGAAACCTTAATCGCTGCAGGAGCTGGCGAGCTAATGAAAAGTTGTCAAGTGCTAAGGATTAACAACTTTTGCGGAATTTAGTCCTTACCATGCAACGCTACATGTGTTCAGCTGTTCGCTGTATGCTGCCATCGTGAAAATCCTGACCCGTGGGTCTGTTTGCACTTTGCAAGTAGTAGTTCGGGTCTGTAACCCCATGATGCCACGGTGGCGTTTTCCATTCAAACGTCAAAAATGCCAGGCGTGATAAGAAGTCTTGGTTCATAATACCTATCTATCAGGTATTTGCCCCATGTCCGCATGCCTTCGGCGCACATATCGTTATGCCTTGTACACAAGAACCGGTATATTTGCACGCCGCAATCCGACGTGCTATGGGTTAGGCACCTAAGGGTTAAAGTTTTAGTGCCATGGTATCTTCACTTTCGTTCCTACCTTGCATTTCGCTGATGCCGAGATATCTGCGGTACTTGTTTTGTTTTTGGCTTCGACGCACCTCCATCGTTGATAAATGATGGCCTCAAAAAGTCGTCACGTCTTTGTAATCCAGAGAACAACATAATTTTTCCGCGTAGGACAGAAAGGGACAGCAGCGCAGTCGTACGGATCTCAGTCATCCTGAAAGAGCCCCGCCCGGCCGTCAGGGCGATGGATTCAGGGCGATGACCTGGATCCACTTCGCCTTGCACTTTTTGATACAGGGCGATGGATGACGTATAACAAAGGTCACACTTGGCAAGAGAACATAAGCCTGCCAACTGAAAACAATTCAGTATTCCTTTAATGAATAAAAGGAATGAAATGCTGCTAAAACATCCAGTGTTGGAAAACGTAGGTGGCGCCGCAATGCTCACCCTCTGATCCACATAATGCCTTGAGGAATCATAAGACATGATTGGATGGCGTCCCAGTAGCTTAAGTACTCAGTCCATTGCTGGCACAGCAAGCTGACGTATGGATGCGCGGGAAGCCCATGACCCAATCTCTTGCCGTTCCGGACATAGGGACCAGGGACATAGTCTGGTGGCTTTGTAAGTATCGCTAACCGTCTTGCCATGGGAATCCCTACTTTTCCGAAAGGTATCTGCGCATTTTTTCGTGCGCAATCGGGCTCGCTCCCGTGTGCCTGGCCTGGTAGCATCCGCCTGCCGCCACCGCCGCCGCGGCCTTGTGAACGCTTTCCCTAGACATCCTCTGCTAACCATGCAAGATATCGCGCCGTGTTAAACGCGAATCGGAACGGGGTTCACCTTCCACAAGCAAATGTGCTATGGCCATTGGAAAAGCCTTAGCCTATCCACCGTAAACATGAATTCAGTGTATATGTTGTATTCTGGGCATACCACGGGATCTGCATCTGCCAATAGGTACTTTTCTGAAGTTGTGGTATAACATTATGTGTCTGTCATGTACCGTGCGAGCGGAGAAGGTAAGCTTGTTAATGCTGTTGAGCTCTTTGAACTTGTAGACAGCCACCTCTGACTTCCGGTGGTCAGTCCGGGTTCCATGCGGGCGGCCGTGTACGGTATAATCATCATGCATGCAAGCGTCTCCTGTGACCGCAGGCCAGCTTGCAATCGACCCAGGACATCTCTGGGCTCAGAGTCCTTCCACCGCGATACCAGGATTTGCAATGTCATTTGCTTTGCTCTCAGGGCATGAGATGCATCAGCTTGGGGGTGGTAAATGGTGCATGTGCGACTGCGTGCCATCACAACGTTTGTCAACAACAACGCGACCGCAGGTTAAACGTCTGCGGGCACGTATAGTTTTTCAAGGGCAGTCTGGTGTGTTATTGCACAAGGTAGAAAAGGTTCCGGGGTACTGTGCCAGTACAGGGTTATCATTCTCAGTACATCGATGAACTGCACAGAACTGCCTTAACCGCAAGCCCTGAGACCTCCTTAAGGCCAGAGGCGGCCATCATAGCCAGAAGGCACGTGAACAATAAGATAATCTAGACGATATGTAGGAGAGGACGGGACATAAAGGTAAGGAGAAATTGAGCCAAGCTAATACACACGAGCAAATTTAGAGCAAGCGACCCTAGCCTCCGCCAGCTAGCACAATTCTTCTTAGACCGCGTTGGTATTGTGAGACATCTAGCATTGGATACTCTCCAACTCTAGGATTCCAATAAATGTCATCCATTAGTCAATTGCACACTTGCGCCATTAATCCATCTGATTCATCGTTCAAGTAATACCCTTGCTTAAGTACTTTTTTTATCTGGGTAGCCTGAGGGTGTTTCCTGCCATTCTGCATCCTTTACAGAATCTGAAAAGCATCATCCCTTATTGGGAACCTTCGGCTGGGAGCGTTGCCGTACAACAATGGCTTTATGGCCACTCCTAATCTTGGCCACTTCTAATTACGGCACCCTGACATAGCTACATGGCAGCCTGACATCCCTATTGCATTTCATAATACACTTGTCACTTCGTAAAGCACTCTACTTGTGTCGCGTCGTGCGTGCGGATAATCGTCGAATACCGTCCCTTATGTTCAGTCCTTCTTCTTATGCACTTTGAGAGCCATCCTATAAAAACGGCGCAAGCGGAATCATTTGACTTGGCACGGTTGAGACCGCCTGTGCGCGGATTTACCGGGGGCGGTCGAGGTCTGAGGCCATCTTTTGGAGGCAAGCCAAAGGTACTTGCATATAATTGCTTTTATATGGATTGGACCGTGCAGCTTTCTTTTCTTAGCTGCTTTGCGGGAGTCCTTACAGGCTTTGCCGACGTACTTTTGGCATTGAAATTTGATATGAGCAACCTGCCAAATATTTAAACTATTTTGCAGGATATTGCTTGTGCGGCTGGCGGGGGCCTTCGCGCTTAAAGGGAGTTTGGGCTGTCCAAACGTTTGCGGCCTACGGTCGGCTGCCGTCATTAAGCGCGCCGAATTAGTATCTTACTGATCGCGCCTTCGAGTCGCCTTTAATACATCACCATCTTGTTTATATGGAAATGATTTGCGAGCAGCTGCACCGTCAGTCGGGCGCGTGGTCGCGCCTGCCATCAGCTTCATCGGACTCCACTGTTGCCTCGTGCCTCGATGCCTATTTGCCCATCTACATCTTCTCCACCAGTAGGAAATCAATCGAGAAGCCTCTAAAGCTGTCTCGCGTTGATTCGTTTCCTACTGTGCCGGACCTTACCGATGAACCGACGTGAGTGCTGAAAACGCGCCTACGTCCAAGCGCTTAACCTATTCAGGCCTTACATGGATTTGCCTGAACTGCGCTCTGAATGCTCTGTATTAGCCAAATCAAAGTAATTCGCCTGCTTATCCCCTTCCGTTTTCTCTTCTATACACAGGTGCGACTCTCCGCAATTTCACGGCAGCAGCCTGCCGACATACTGTCCCACAGGGGACGACAGCTTTAACAGTCTTCCAATAAACATCTGCAGCCACGTGCAGCAGCAATTTTCCTCGCCGTACGACGTAGTGGGTAAAGGCCTGCCGTACACCCAGTTCGGCAATGAAGTTCTGCCATCCGCTTGCAGCTGCGCCGACGCCGGCATTGGTGCGATACCCCTTGTTGACACCAAGGCGTCATTGGCCCCTGGCCGCGCTCATCCCCGTCGCCATCCTAGCGATGTACGGCTTTCCCGTCCAGGATCCATGGGAAGTTCCTTGGCGGACGACTGTTCCTCGTACTCCGCATTTTCGTCTTCTATTGCTGTTAGCGGCAGCGAGGATGGAAAGGTTCTGGAAGTTCCCAGCCGCAGCCTCCTGGAATCGGCCCTCATGACTCTCTGGGAGGACAGAGCGGACCGGGGCCTCTTTCGGTGAGTCCATATCCTTGACTGCTGTGCCGTGCCGGAGTTTGATTTCTGTCTAAGAATCATATTGATGGCTTTTGAATTGAATTGAATTGGCTACAACCGTATCGATGGCTTATACCCTTATGCAATACTGCATGAGGCATATAGGTTTACCAGAGGTTAGATGACTGATGGAGCAATTAGCACACAAAGTGGTTTCAGAAAGAAGATTGGCAAGCCATGGTCAGAAAGCAGGTACCAACTGGAGGCTTATGATGCTCTCCTCGTGCTGTATGTCCTTGTCGTCCTGAAACCGAAGGCCGGTCTCTGCCATCGGCCGGTAGCCGGTAGTGTATGAAGGTCCAGCAGTTAAAAACAGTTAATGAACAGAGTTGCCGATCCTTCTCACGCGTTTCTCCAGCTGTGCTTTTATATGCTCCCTGTTAACAGCTAAGCGCTCCCCCCCGTTCCCTTCCCCTCTCTGCCGGTTTCTCCCCCGCCCCGCCCCGCCCCGCCCTGCTGCTGCGGACCGCAGCTACGATGTCACGCTGTGTCCTACACGCGTGTTGCCGGGCTCGCGAGGCTTCATCGCACAGCTCAACGAGGGCCGGGCCACAAAGAAACGCCCCACTGAGGTCACGTTGGACCGAGTTTTGCAGCCTTTCGACTCCGCTAAGTTCAATTTTAAGAAAGCTGCCATGGCGGAGGCGCTCGTCGGGTTCTTTCCCGACGATGCTGGCAGTGGCGGCGGCGCTGGTGGCGGCAATGGCGGCCGCAGCTTGCTGCCATCCGTGGCGCCGCTGGGCGCCGCCGCAGTGGCCGCGGGCGGCAGTCCGAACCTGGTCCTCATCAACGTGTCGCCTATCGATTATGGCCACGTGCTGCTGGTGCCGCGGGTTCTGGACAATCTGCCGCAGGCGCTAAGCTGCGGGACGGTGCTCCTGGCGCTGCAATTCGCTGGGGAGCTGGGGAACTCGCACTTCCGAGTGGGCTACAACTCCCTGGGTGCCTACGCGACCATTAACCACTTGCATTTCCAGTCGTACTTCTTGGCCAAGACCATGCCATGCGAGGCGGCTGCAACGGTGCCGCTGCCCGGAGTGTTGGCGGTGCCGCCGGTAACTGGCGGCGGCGGCGGCGGCTCCACGGCGGCGCTTTTGCCGCTATTACGGAAGCGACACTTCGATGATGACGCGGTCAGCGGCGTGCTAGCCGGTGCTGCTGTACGCGTGTCGCGCCTCGTGGATTACCCCGTCAATGCGTTTGTTATCGAGGCCTTAACCTCCTTGGAGACGAGTTTATACGACTGTGGTTGTGGGTCCCCCAGTTCTGCTACGGCCGCGGTGGCGGCAGTGGTGGGTCTCGCAGCGGAGCGGCTACAGGCGGCCAACCAGCCGTTTAACCTGCTCATCTCAGACGCTGGTCGCCGGGTTTTTCTGTTTCCTCAGTGCTTTGCGGAGCGCCAGGCGGCGGGCCTTATCCCGCCGGAGCTTCTCGAAACGGGCGTGAATCCAGCCGCGTTTGAGATTGCTGGACATCTGGTCCTGAAGCGCACGCAGGACTACACGGAGGCGACGGAGGACTTGGCAATGCAGCTGCTGGCGCAGGCGTCGTTATCGGAGGAAAGGTTCATGAGCTTGGCACGTCTGTGCTTTGGCGGTGCTGCTGGCGCAGACATCTGTGGCGCCGCCTTACAGTGAAGATTGATCATTTCTAGTATTACTGCAGCTGCGTTTTTTGTTCCTTTATCGTTGTGCGCATTCGCTTGGCAGGTTGCTTGTGCAGGTTGGCATTCGAGGGGGAGGAGAGGAGCTGTCTTGGTGTTTTTTTGTTCCACATTGGACAACCTGTTTTTAGTGTGTGTGAGTTTTAGTGTGGGGGTTTTGCTTTGATTATATCATGGCGATGTTGACGACGGCACTGTTGACGTGGAGCGAGACAGGGTGTGCGTTTATTAAGAAATGGTGCCGGGGTTGGTAACCAGACAACTGGAGTGCGGTATGTATGCTTTCACTTTTTTTCAGGGGGTGCATGTGTATAAGAATGCATGGCATGGGGGTTGCATGCATTGGATCTGCACTATCTACTCGCGCTGCTGTTTGCAACCGCGTTAGCGAGAGGTGTACTGTCTCTGCGTGGTGGTGCAAGTAAATGCTATTTTAACAGACAGCCCTAAGGACGGTGGTGAGAAGGCGAGGAGGTAGGATCTTGGCACGCATTCGTTGCTCTCGAGGTAAAGGCTGTCAGAATTTTTTGGAGCTTTGAGCCATACGACGAGAGAACGCTTTACGGCTTGCATGATATTAAGGAGTGCGACGCGTTGCGGTGCTAGCGGGTTTGGATGTCTAATCGTTTCTGACATGATCGACGGCCGGGCGATGTACGGAGAGAGATTTTCCAGTGATGTGGCCGTGGTCGTAGTTGAATATGGCGGCCAAATATTTTTACCTTCCTGCACCAGATGTGGACCACCTCGATGTTTTGTTGTGAGGTCCAACGGTGCCTTAGAAGCGCGGTGCGAGGGAAGAAAGCGAGCTGTACGACTAGGAAAGGAAGATACGGGGCATTTGAGAGATGGGGGAGATAAAGAGAGAGAGATGGAGAGCTACTTAAAGGCAATAATTGGGATCGTTTGAACACGTTTTGAGTGGTGCGTTGCATGTCTGGGCATAGTGGGGCTTGCTCGTCTGTCCGGAGAGAACAATCAGATGCTTCTGCTGTTTTTTGACTTCGTTGCATTTTTTCTTCTTCCTTCTTGAGCGTGGCTTTGTTGCGCTCTTAAGGGTCCGCCTGGGTGTGTGCGGAATCATGCTGAGGACCGCTGGCAGGTCTACCGGGCTGGCGGCTGCAGTTGTTGCGCCTCTAGGACCTCTTGGGACATGCACGGAGCGGAGCTGATGTGTGTGTGTGTGTGTGTGTGTGTGTGTGTGTGTGAGAGTGAGAGTGAGAGTGAGAGTGTGTTACCAGGCAGAGAGGGTCCATGTGAGGCGCTGTATGGCTGAGCTGCGATGTGCGCGTGTGTGCTTGAAAGTAAATGCTTGCGCCGGTTGGGGCCGGCAGTCCTTGTGACATTGACTAAGTCACGTCGCACGTTGTCGTCCAAATATGATGATGATTCGGGGGAGGGGTTCAATCTCCCTTTCCGTGCTAATCGTTGCGCACTTGCCGGCAGCAGTCGAGGCACTGCTTCTATGTGTTTCGAGTCGTCCGTGTGAGTTCTGATGCCCCGGCAGATTGTGTGGCGGAACGATGTTTGCCACAAAACCCCCCATGTGCCGTGGATTTGGATGAGGAGCGGTGCGCGTCTGATGTACGACTCGGTGTCTTTTTTGCCAAGTACCTGTGTCCTTATGGTTGCTATCGTGTTGCCTGTCGCCGTGCGCTTGGTAACTCGTCATTGGGCCAGGGCACGGCTGTAATTTACCCCTGGACAGCTGTAGACACAACTCCTGTGCCAGTGTTGGATCTGGATGTGGGAGAGGCTGCATGCGTAGTGGACCTTTTCTTCTCTTCTCAGTTGTCATTTGGGAAGGCGTCGGTTGGACATCGTTAGACTGCTGTGGCGGACAGGTTTTCTTTTAGCTGGTCTTACGACTCCTGTGTACAATACTGTTTAGTACGACGATGGGCGCTGATGGGCGCAAGTCTCTTTGGTAGATGTGGGTGTGTGTGTTTTACATGGTCGTGGGGTTGCGTACCCCGTACCTGCGAACCGCCCAATACGAGCCGAGGGCTCAAGGGCTGCCAGATCGCCTGTAAGCACCTTCCTACCTCGCACTTCAGACAAAGCAAGTGATAAAGGATGCCCAGATACGTTCCAGCATCTTCGCCAGACGTTCAGGTTCCCACTTCATGGCGTTCTTCATATACTCAAAGCGTGGGAAATCCATATCAGATCTAGTTTCGCCGTACACCGGACAGTCCAGCAAAATGTGCTTCTCATCTTCAATATGGCTATCAGTGCAGCAGCAGGGGCATACATCCCGACGGCATCTTTCAAACGCCTTCTGGAAGTCAATTTATACAACGATTAACGGCCGCTGTCCAAGTTGACTGTGCCTAGCAGTAAGGTACTGCTTGACAAACAGATGATAAGCAGTATCTAACCCTCTTCTGAAACCCGCTTGGCCTCGGTGCACTGATGAAAGCATACCCCCCATGCGAACGAGCCTATCCAGGAGGATAAGCGCGTAACATTTCGCCTAGGCGCCCCCTACTGCTATGCCCCGGTAGTTACTCGGCATGCTGGGGTCCCCATCCTTGTGAATTGGGTTGAGGACGGTAGTCGTGACCTCTCGTGGGAAGTCCCCAGTCGCCCTGATGTGTTCCAGAAGAACGTGCAGCACCGAAACAAGCTGATTCACCTCCCGCCGTCGCCTGCCCCTGCCGCTACCCAACGCAGAGCCTTCCTCTCCTCTAGGCATGCACGCATAGCGGTAACATTCCAGCGGTACTGCTTCCAAGAATGGCGCCTTACTATTAGGCAGCCGGTCAACAACGTATGCCACTCCTCCAGCGTGAAGGGGCGGTGTAGGATTCTGTTGCCTGCGCAGTCCTGCCCAAAACCGAGTGGGATGTCCGCCACTCCCGTCCCTCTAGGCGTTGCCCAAAGTTAATGAAGTTCAAAAAAAAACATCAGGCACCGTCTCCCCCATACCCGATTGATGTGGCTCGTTGTCGCGTCCATGGCTGCTTCCAACGGTCCGCTGTCCATCGATCTGCTGAAACATGGAACATGAAGGTATCAACACCCTAGGGCCCGTGCGGCGGCCCGCCTGCTACTTGTTTGGTTTCTTGTAATTGTACATCAAAGACCGCTGCTGGGACACTTATCCAGGGCGACGTAGAAAGGTGCCGACCCTTCCTCGCTCGGCAGGCAGGTCGGGTGGCATGATTCCTTTTGGGTCGGGTAGTGGGCAGGGCAACTGGGGCGCCATTGCCAGGGTGCAAAGTTATGTGCCACGTGATCGCTTTACGAAGGGGCGGGACTGTGCATGCAGCTAGGAAGCACGGTAGCTGACAAGGGCGACCACCCTCATTCCTAATTGTGATGCCTATATCTTTGCGTCTTATAAGCTTTCCCCCTACCATGTATGCATATGCTGCACCCTAGCTGTGCTAGACGGATCAGTGCTCCAGTGTAACATACCGCATGAATATTCCGGTTAAAGCCACATCAACATACTTTTCGCTCGATGTTGACCCTATCGTGGTTGTTGTTGCAGAACAGCAAATTAAGAAGAGGAAAAACAGGCTGGCTGGCTTGCTTACGTCGGAAGAGCTGGTAGGGCAAGGAAAACAGAAGTAACGACCATTGCCCAGCTATCCTAAAAGCTGCAGCTGCATTAGCTTACTGCACCATAAGTGTGCATCGATGAGATGAGTGGATGTGTCTATGGGAAGGCGCACGGGGCTCGATCGGACCTTACAATTTCCCCTGCCCTGCTGGACCAGGCTTAGGCAGCACATTCACAACCTGGAGAAAGGAAGGAACCTACTACAACCACATACAGCTCCGGCTATAATTGGGGGAACACACATACATACGAGTGAGTACGGAATCTACAATTTAGTGAAGCGCTCGCCGCACGCGACCCCAGCAGGTGAAGACCTACAGGACCTTCAAAACTATTGCGACACCGTCACCCACGTAGTGAAGTCACGATACAAGCATTCTACGTGTTCTTAAATACTCAATATGAGGACTTGTTGCCCCTTGCTCGTAGGTAGGTTCCCAATATCTGTATACCAGGTGCAAGGCATGCAAGGCCTTCCAGCTTCACACATACAGCCGCTGGGGAGGGACGTCGTCCGCATAACCCACATATTAGTGCCATACGATCTCGATCGCGACGACAAGAAAAACAAGTATTATCGATTCGCCATTTCGAATAGTATATAATATCACGATACAGCAGCAGCAGCAGCATACAACAGGGCTTGCTCCGCCGACTCCCGCCAAGCCACCTGACCGCGCACACGCTATCATGTCCTCCAACCGAGGTTAACGATTAGTGTGTCGGTGGTGACTTAGGGTTTGCAGCACGCCCCCTCGCTCGCTCAATTACCACTTGCTCACGCCGGGAATTAATCCCGTATTTGTCCATCAGCTTATTTATGTTATCACCCTTACGTCGGTAAAATTTTGGGTCGTCTGTAAATATGTAGACCATCTATCTGAGTTTTAGATAGTTGGCATATAGACCCTAGTACTGTCGATAGTAAAAGGTACTATATGAGTGGCAGCAGTGAAAAACCTACTGGTGTACGCACAAGCGCGTGCATGCACTATTAGTTTCTCTTACTGCAAGGGGACATAGGAAGTATGCATCGGCCACGAGACCGAGACATAGCCGTATGAAACACACGCCCATGGCGACACGAAGCCCTAACACCCTTAATGCGGGTGCTACGGCATTAAGATGCCCACGTACAATTATAATACTTTTCATAACATATACATTATAATTTATAATTTTTATTTATTATTATTATCTTTATAATATTTTTATTGTATACAAACAATTCGACTCGTCCCGGCTCGCAAGATTGGCATAAGTAATCAGCTAATCAAACGACAACATAACCAGTACATATCTAGTCCCTGGTCGCGTAGATGTTGCACACCAGGCCGCCGCCGGCGGCGGCGGTGGCAGCCTTGTCATCACCCCCATTGGGCACCACAGCGGCGGGCGTGTCACCCTCGGGGTGCAACTTGTTGTAATACTTGAAGCCGAGGAACTTTGGGGTGCCCACCTCGCCCACATGAACCCGCGAAAAGCCCTTGTCCCGCAGCAGCTGGGCAATTCGCTCCACGCGGTCGCCAATCACGTGCGTTTCTATGGCCGCCTGGCGTGTCATGGCCCAATCGTCGTCGGAAATGCCGCACACGACGTCCCACTCAGCCTGATTGCATACAGACATATAAACAAGGTGCAGACAGACAGCAGCTATGAGATAATGTGTTATTATTGGATGGGATGCTGTTATTACTGGACTTCGATGCAGCAGGTATTATTTGCGTCTGTCTGTATATATGTATGTACGTCGGCACAGGCACACGCTGCTGTAACGTGGAAACATGCATTCATGCATGCACAGAAGCTCGTGTGCATGAATGCATGAACGCAGAATAGAGGGATCCTTTTGCATTTATAATTTCGGTCTGCTGTGCGAGGCGACACACATCCAACAACCGCCACTAGCAGCAAGATGGATACAAGCTGAATTCAAGGATTGCTCCATGCATTCGACAGCAGCGCTCCCCGGCAGAGCTGTGCTGTCACACGTCTGCAAAATGGCCTACAGATGACAGGGTCGTCATTTGTAATAGATAGGACCGAGAAATAGATCGTATATAGGGGCATCATGGTAGTATAGAATGGTCTATGGATCGTGTCGTGGTACAATAGATAGGCCTGAAAATATATTATCTATAGACACTCCTCAATTTTACAGACTGCGTTACAGATTCGACGGCAACAAGCAGCTGGATCATTTAATTCTGCTGATGAGGATGAGTACGGCGGCAGCAGCTAATTAGTAAACGTGTATGTGTGTGTTTGGTTACAGTGGGCTCCAGACTCACACAAGAGTAGAGCCAGCGGGCCGTGCATATTACTGCACCTGAGACCAACAGGGCAAACAAGACTCCCACACAGACCAGACAACGCAAGTCATCTAGATTTCGTAGTTGGTTTTAATGTCTGTCAGCGGTCGTTGGTGACGTATGTAATTTCTTAATGATATTATTGGACGGGCGATTTTACGAATGTATGGATTAGCACATATATATGTCCCCCAACCATGTAACACACACACATATATATGTCGCCATGTTGAGCAACGACGACACTATTTGGTTCATTTTGCTGAAATACATGTGCTTGCAAGCCATCTAATGCATCTAAACGTACGTGTGCGTATGCGACCCTCCTTACCCCGTACCCGTTGTATCCGTACTACTCGTACGGATACAATCGGTACTAGGTAGAGGCACGTACGTACCTTTTCAACATCGATCTTCAATAGGTCGATGCGCTTCAGCCCGAGCTCTTGGCGTACGGAAGAGAAAGTCCGGAGCTCAGCCTCGACTACCTCCTTCCGCAGGCTGTCGCCTACCCGTTGACGGAGCTCCTCAAGACGGGCCCTATGTACGGAGAAATGACGAAGCGATCCATGGCATGGCCGTACGTAACCAATACGAAGCCGCGCGATAGATATTACCGAGCGAGTATCTCCATGAATTATGTACGATTATCAGTTGCTTGTACGCACGGCTACGCACACGCGCACTTTACCTTCACAGAATGAGGAAAAGAAATACGCGCGTTCTTTAAGCGCATGCGAACGTGTGCGCAATGGACGGAGTGCGCAGAAACAATTCAGCAGTGTGCCCGCGTGCGCTTAAATAAATACGTTTGCCAGCTGCTCTCCTGCTTGAAACTCCACATCATTTTGGTCGTTACATCAGGAGGAACACACCGTATGACGCTACGTAGCCAGACAGACACTTACGGGTCGTTCGATCCCTCGAACTGCAGCAGCTTCTGCGCGATGGCGTCGCGATCCGATGGATCCCAGTCGTACGCCGATGACAGCAGGGAATACTGCACGAATGGATCCACCGTACATGTACATATGCAATTAAGCAAGAGCTTAAAATAAATCTTTGGTGCGTGCGTGCATACTGCTGTGGCACATGCGCTGTATCAACCTAACAAATAGATGATAGTTATTGCCAGTGCCCACTACTGCTGCTGCCCGGCCTGGCCACGCGTGAGTCGCTGCTGTAAATCCAATAAGATTCGATTTTAAACCTTACTCGGACTTGCTTGTATGACTTGGCTAATCTGCGAGGTTTGCTTCATGCTCTCATACATACATACATACAGACAGACAGACATACATAATATAATACATATATGCACACGTGCGCATGTACCGACGCTGCAGACAGCCAGCATGCTGCTGACTGATTGGCTGGCTGACGAGTCAAACTAAGCCGAGGTGTATTGCATGCGTGTGTGGTGGTAGGTGGCCGGCTGGCGGATCGGATATGTGAAAAGAACTCATGGATGCGCGCATGTATAAGCCCACGCCAGCCTATAGCCAAGAATCGAAACTTAGTTGCCAGTAATTGATCTGGGTCACAAACTGATGATAACAACGAGGACGGGGAGAATGACCTCGACAAGCAAGCAAGGGATTGGGGCGTGTTGGAATATGATCGACACTCAGACACAAGTGTGAAATGGGAGAACAGTCGTAGGACCCGGGGGGTTTCAGCACTTTGCTAATATTGTTAACAGGGCAGTCGACAGTTGATTGGTCTCAACTTGCATGCCTGCATGCATGCGATGACGTGATTCTTTGCAGCAACAGGATGCATGGACCCAAACTAAATACAATTATACATCTGGTGGGCAGTAGCAGCAAGTGCGCGCACGACGGGTAGACGGAGATACGCAGTTTGCTCTTAAGCAGCTCTTTAGTTTGTGCAGTTGGCTGGTGGGTTCGCTTTCAAGGTTGTACGGCTTGGATACGGAGTTGAATTGGCCTAGCTATCTGGCTTGCTTAACAAGCACGGCACTGTTGTACCTAAGATAGGTTCAGAAATTGCGGCAGCGTCGTTGTACGTCGATTTACGTGCACCTCGTACGCAGCCCCCCCGCGCCCCCCGGGCAAGCAGGTATCACTGTTACCACCTTACGGCTATGCAGGCCCAGGCAATCATGCGACACGTTACCTCATAAGCAAGCCTACCTCGGGGAAGAAATCGAAAGCGATTTTCCCGACCTTGTCCGGGGCCGTTAAGCCCAGCGTGAAGACCTTGTACTCCGTATCTTTGCCCTTGTACAGCTCCATATTAGCTTGACATATGTGCGCAAGGATTGGCACGGGCTCAAAAGCATAGATGGAGATGTTTCCCTTGTTCTTGAGGATCGCGTATACCGCAAATGCACCTGTTGGAGCAGGAAATTTCGTCGCCGCTTAGCGTCCTATTGCTTGAACCTTATCGAAGGACATACAGGCCCCAAAGCTATCACCATATTTGCATGCAATCCGCATAGGCAACACAAATTTCTCACCAATGTTCCCACCGATGTCAACTACCACGTCTCCAGGCGATATGGATATGCCGAACTGCGTGTAGTCTGCCTCTTCAAATATCTGCTTGTATAGAAATGATGCCTCAGCTGGTTCCAAGCATTTGAATGCTGGCACTTCGTCGGAAAGCGAAATTGTCTTGACGGCGTAAGACTTGCCCCCAACGGTAACATCTGCCGTTGCGTCACTAATGCTCGGCATTCTTAGAGAGGAATACAACCTGTTTGCAGACACCTCAGACAATCCGTGGCCAAGGATGGTTGACAAAATTTGTTTGTGCTGCTGGCACCTGCCGCGCAACAGTTTTGCAGGAGGCCTGCACACGGAGCCCTTCCTATACAACAATGAAGATCTGGATGGCAAGCAGGACATATGAAATGAATGTATTGCGTAGCCGCACTCAGGAGCGTCACGGCATCCCTTCATCCCGCCGTATTTTCAGGCCCATTACAGCCAGTTTGCATGTGCCGTAGCATGTAACCAATCCAAATTGAAGCGCCGTAAGTCAGCATTTTACCTCAAGGCTTATAATAAGCTGGCGTAGTGAAATTCGCATGTGCCAGATTTGCAGGTCAGTTTGATGCATTCGTGTACTCGGGTTAGAGGGCCGCTTTGCTGGGGCGCGGCTTGTTAGCGCACTGTAAAGTTCTTGGCGGGCCAACAAGGTCTTTGTTGTAAGACTTCACAAGCGGCGTTTTATCAGTTACCACCCCGAAACCACTTAGGGCATTTACTTAACGAAACTGCAAACTGTTTACACTTATTGATTACTATTCTGATAAGAAAATGCGACGGGACAATGGCATTCAACTAATTCCAGGGCTTTGGGCCATTCAGATTCTTCCGTTGTCCACGACGCCGTCGGCCGGCGAGCGGTCAGAAGGAGTGGAGGTAAACTTTTTAGTACCGGCCGCAAGATTAAATCAAGTATTGCAGAAATTTTTTCGCCCCTAAAATTATTGGAGAGGGAGTGATTATTACATTGGACCCCGTTCGGGTCGACCCGCGCAACGCCTTATTCGAAAATCGGCCAGGCCGTAACAACTTCACTGGACATGAATCCTCAGCTAGTACGCTCAGACATACAAGATTGGGCTCGGATGAGAACCCTCAGAAATCCTCATTGTTTCCGGTAGTTGACAAACGACAAGACAGTTGACAAACGACAGACAGACAAGTCGGGTGTCGGCTTCCTCGAAGCCGGAAAAAGGGCGGGCCCCCCTTGCATCCGTACAGGCCGGTAGCTAGCGCGGCATGTGTGACAATTGATGGGTAGTGTCAACGCGGTGGGAGATGTGCTTTGTTGCAGCAGTGCTGATGGTGTGGGAGCTAAGCTTGCACCGGTGGAATCGTCAGCACCGCCTGCGGGCTCCACGCGAATCGCATCATCCCGGGTGCATGCCGCATGGACAGTGCGGCAGACCGCAAGTCGGAATGCCCGTGCGGGCAAATGGTAACGCAAGCTGGGTGAAGTTCGGTTCTGTCTGTGATGTTTATCCCCGAAGCGCCAGCGGCCTCAGCAATCCGCCCCACGGCCGCGAGCTTCATTGCGGCACACCGCAAGTCTCCGGAGGCCTCGAGCATTGGCTAAAGTAAATGTACAAACGAGCAGCTTGTGTATTTCATAGAGAAATGTAAGCAAATTTGTCGGCCTGCTGGTGGCAAATCGGAATGCCCGTGCGGGCAAAAGGTAACACAAGCTGGGTGTTCAAGTTATCATACGCTGTCATCTCAGAATTCCATTATGAGATACACGGCACCTTTTGAGATGAAATTTAGCCCGAGAGGCGTTAATGTGACTTTGGCCTCAGTCAATTGAGGCAGCCAAAGTTGTTTGTGCTCATTTGTGCTCATACGATTTTTGTTGGCTACAGGCGAGATACCTTGCGATAGAGGATGCTATATAGTACCAATATCGCATTTCAGCCGGGCGAGATATTATGTTTGGTCCGTTACACACACACGGCCACACGCACACACGGACATGGGCAATCCTACAGGTCGGGGCCCCCCTGGGCGCTTCGCGCTGGGGCCCCGCCCAAAAATGGTGGTTGTCAGCAGAGGTCGGCAAACCGGTTTCTACGGCTGCGGGAGGGCATAATTTTGGTAAGTAAGTCTACAGAAAATTCAAAGTTCAAGTCCAGCGCGCAGCCGCAATAGAGGCTGCAAATCACGTCTTCTGGTCAAATTTTGGTCATTATGGACCCTCAACCGGGGCCTTCAGCCGAATTTCGGCTGCGGGTACTGTGGTACGCAAAATCAGTTAAGACGGGCCAAAAGGTCGGAAATGACCACGCAACCAATGCGGTTGAGGGCAGTTCCGTGGTATCGCCCTGAAGACCCTCCCGAACTGATGTCCGCAAGGCACACCACCTCCCACACACGACTACGAATGGTGGGTGGCAGAATGCCCAACCACAAATTGGCCCGGGGAATGAGGTCCTAAAGTACCAGTTTGTCCTGCATCATCAGCATCACGAAAATCCATTGCGATGTTGCAATGCAGAAGTGATGCTGCCGATCCCCACGAACCATACACACACCCAACGGGCACATCACAGCAAGGGGTCCCCTCCCCGGCGCTGCACCCTATGAAAGGGAAAGGCAGGGAAATCCGTCAATCGCAAGCCTCCAAAGGGCTTCCTTATCCTCACTATCCCAACGAAGGCGCCACATGCACGACAGTGTCCGTCGGAAATCCATCATGGTATTGGCCACATTCTCTGGTGAGAACATGACATCGACAGCGCCCGAAGTAAAATCCTCATGTTTCACATCAAGGCTCCGCAAGGACAGGGCCTTCAACAGCGTCATCGCAAATTTAACGGTAAATCGAGATAATTTCACCACACTTGTCCGAATCTCCAACCCAAGCTTTAAGCACTTTTTCAGGCCTCTTCCGGCGGCAGTGTTTTTCTTTTCAATTTTGCCGGTGAATTTTCCAGTCCGAACGGAGGAATAGGTTTTTAGTCGCGGGAATAAAAGTATTCCGAATCTGTAAGGCGCTGGGGGGGGCTCCGCCCCCCCCAGACCCCCCCCGATGAGTTACAGTTTACTTCGTGCAAACGCCGTGGGGAATGCCGCAACACGCGCACACCACAATCTCTCAAACACTGATCGAATAGAGTTCGTTCACCATCGTTTGTCTTGCATCACGTTGAAAGATAACACTACACGACTTTCCGGGTTGCAAAAGTAATGCTGCATAATGCTGCATTGCGCCCACATTCCCTACGACCTCTATACCGTCTTCATTAACATCGCTAATAGCTTCAGTGATTTTTTATATCTGATTTAATGACCTAACACGCTTTGGGAGCTTCGGGTCCGAATGTTTTGCAGCGTTTGGTCCGGTCAGAAACAGTCCGATTCCTCGTTGACTTTCGGGCGTGAGCTTCCTAACAGTATCCATGGCATTAAAGTACTATGATATGGTTCACATGTATGTCTCCTGTGAGATTCTAGCGGCTTTTGGCTGGAGGAATGAACTTGCACGGTCGGAACATTAATTATTCTTAACTTTCAGGACCACGTAAATTTTTTTATTCCGAATTCGGAATATATTCCGCAAAAAAATAACGCCGGACCGGCGGTGGCACAACGTGGTTCCCCACGTCATGCCCACGCAATGAAGTTTTAGCGCAACACAGCTGAGAGAAAATCTCGTTGAGGCACGCTTAGAGGAAATCTCCACCTAGTGTGTCGTAAGCTTTGTAGAAGTCAAAGAAGGCCGCAACACATGTTCAATGTGCCCTGCAGGAAGGGAGCACGGGCAGAAATTGTAGGAGTAGGACAGTGTCCACGATTTGCCGGCCCGGAAGGAAAATGCTGTCTGTTACACAGCGGAAGAAGCCGCTGCTTGAGGACACGTGATAGCGCGTGATACTCCTTGCCAAGCAGTGTAATTGGTCGACAGTTATCCGGCACGGTATGATCATCCACTTTGAAGAAAGATGAAATGATGCCGTCCAGGAAGCCTTCTGGCACCCTATATATCACAGTGCCCAAGGACGGTGGAAACGGCCGCCAGCAAGGGAGCACTATTGATCCGCAAGGGAGCACTATCTCAACCGGTACCCTGTCAGGACCTGCCCCCAGTGGCGGAGCTCGGCCGGTGCCGCCGCGATCTGCACTTCCTCAACCGTGGCGGCCTTTGCCCCGACCGTCGCCACGCTTTTACGTGATCGGGTCCGGCCTCTCGCGTACAGCACATGGAGGGCACAGACCTGGGCATCTGGGTCGATCAGGGGCTGCGCTCCTGTTTTTTTGCCAGTAATCCGCCATAATATTTAGGAAGCTGCTGTAAATTGCTACACAATGTACCGTTAGGTCCTCGTAAGGTGGTATTTCTGCAGGTTATGGCGAGTAGCCGGAGCTGGTTGGCTGGGGCCAGGCTGGGGTGTTCCGCCGTACGTATCACGGCAGATGCGTCGTGCGATGCAGGCCTCATCTCGGTGCACCGCATCCACCTGTGCAGATCAAGCGAGAACTGTGCATGGAAGAGCCAAAGCATCCCCGTCCTCCGCATCCGCCAGGATGCTATCGGCCTGGGCCTGTGTAGCGTCGTCGTCTGGGCCCCAATCAGCTGAGGCAAGCATGACTGTTAGCTTAGGCGGGCAGTGGCCCGGGCCAGCGCCCGTGTAATGAAAAGCCCTGTGTACCGCTCGATTCCTCGCCCTGACTAATCCAGCTTGTACGGTGGCGCGCTCACAGAGTTCGGTAATAGCCTTTCGCGCGATGAAGGTTTGTTTGAGCGCAGGTGGCTGCCGTGGGGCCCCAAGGTGGCTGTTGCGTCTGGCATGGAAGTCCCTTCCCATGCCGAAAAGAAGAGATGTTGTTAAAATTGCATGGCCGTGTCTTTGGGGGTTACTCAGCTTTGTCGACAGCCCGATTATTCGACGGTAGCTACCTATACCATGTAACATGGGATATGAAGCTCTATCCGAACAATTGCTGATAAGAATGCGAGCACCAAGACGACCTTCGAGGTCGTGCTCGGGCCTACTCGCGTTTCCTGTCGCGCGAACGCGCTCAAACCCACACAATACACCAGCTGCCCCACACCGCTCCACATGTCGCACACACAAAGGGCAAAAAGAAACTCATAGCTGCGTACGGGAATGGTTTATCTTACACGTAGGTGCTTTGGATATCTATCGCCGCGAGATAAAATCCCCCGAAAATATGTGTGCCGTCATCAGCTTCCTCCGCCCATCCACTGGTACACAACCCGAAATGCTTCGAAGCCAACTCGCCCAGCAATTGACATGGATGCCTGCCATGGCTGTGCAGTGACTGCAGGCGCCCCCGGCGCCCGCCACAGGTCCCGGGAGTGAGCTGAAGCGCCCCTACGAATCCATCCCCCCAGCATGCAACGTTACGTCACATTGATTTGCGAATTACCCCACAGCAACTCACAGAATGCAGGCATGCTACTGTATGACCAAACGTGCCAGCGAGGTGCATTCAGAAATCAACATGCTGCAAGCATTTTTAAATGTGCTTCTGTCAAGAGCTTGTCAGGCCGGCTAAGCACGCAGCAGGCAGGCCCAGGGCCGCTCGGCTTGTTGGCTTGCCCGCTGCCAGCACTAGAGATCCCTCCAATCGGGGCGGGTTGGACCCGCCTTGCTTGCCGCCAGACCAGCAGACAGGGAGATCCCGCTTACAGCAACCCGTTGTCGCCGCAGCTGTAGCCCCTCCGCCCGCAGCAGCCGCTGCTTCTTGCCCCTGAATCTAATCCAGCTAGGTGCTTACAGCGCCAGCACCCGGGCCGCATGGACGGTGGTCCTCACCAGAGCCGCATGCTTGCGCACGACACTGCGCATGGCGGCAGCTGCGGGTGCCGCAGCCACGGACTGGGCCCTCACAGGGCAGACCACGGGCCTGGAACACAAAAGAAGTTTACAGGAGGCCGTACAGGAAAAGTTTATAGGAAGAAAAGGAACGTACTGTGGAGATTGGGTTTTAGGAAAGGGCCGATGGGCACCTGTGTCTGTGGAAATTTCAGGCACTGTAGGCAGCAATGACGTCCTAATCGTCATCCAGACATGGGTATGTGGGGATAGCGGGGATGTGCGGGATTTAGCGGCAGTGTAACGGCGGGGGCGATCGAACAGATGTGCGCGCAAAGTCCTCTTTTTCTTTCTTTCGGCGTACATTATTCCTAGGCTGTATGCGTCTGTGCAGGTGCATAGGTGTGCGTGTGTGCGTCTGTGTGTGTGTATGTGTGTGTGTGACATGGTCCGGGGTGTGGACTTTGCAGAGCCGAAACAGGAACACGTCGAATGGACGACTGGGTGCACGGGCAGTAGGAAGGTAGACTGGCCTCCAGGCCCGAACGCACCTGCTCAGCTTCGACCCGAAGCAGCGAGACGATCCGGGGGCGGCGCTTGACAACGAGCTGTAGCTCCGTACGGTTGCGCCTGCAGCGCCTCCACGGGCCGCCAGCCAGGACGTCGCACCTGCCGCCTTGGTTGCGCCTGCACCACCACGACGATACAATGCCGACGACGGTCAGACGTGTATCCGGTTACACATACACACATACACACACACGCACGATGCCCTCAGGCTGCCAAGGCGGATCTATGGGACGGTGGGACAGCCCAGGCAGGCAAATCTTGCATCACTCCGGCAGTCCACTGACGCAAAGATCCATCCACCCGTTTGCCGACCCACCGATGGCCCGTCCATAGCAAAACCCATTTTGCCGACCCACCGACCCGCGCAGTCCGCAACCGCGACGTTATCCAACTACCGATGGACCCACCTGCGGGCAGCTGTCCGCAATCCGCCACCATGACGTCAAAGGCGGTCTCGCCGCTGCGGCTACCGCAGGACTCGATCGCCTTGACCACCTCAAAGCCGTCCACAACCTGATCAGGAGTGCACGCATGTAGGAACAGGAACGATGGTGGGTGCAACCCCCGATGTCACCGCCCAAGGGCCCATTCCGTAGCGGTAATTGCAGGGGCTTAGTAGGTAGGCAGGTAGGGCAAAGCGCCGGCGACTGTGAATAACACCGTAGCTCACCACGCATATCGTCTTAAATATCGATACCCGTATCCAACAAAGCCTGCCTTCCTCTGTCGCTACACTACATACAAACCTAGCCATTGACAGCAGCTAGTGTTTTGATATTATTATTAATTTTTTATTAGTATTTTGATATTACTATTAATATTTTATTTAGTATTTTGATATTATTATTAATATATTTTATTAGTATTTTGATATTATTATTAATATTATTAGCGTTTCCTCGCTTGTCAATGTGTAACTGGTAGACCCTCTCTTACTCCCTTTCCCTGGGTCACCTGGCCGAAAACCACGTGCTTGCCGTCCAGCCAGGGTGTCTGAGCAGTGCAAAGGAAGAACTGGGAGCCGTTGGTGTTGGGTCCCGCATTCGCCATGGACAGTACACCCGGGCCCGCGTGCGACAGCTTGAAGTTCTACACACATACATACACACAAACACAGACGGGGGAATGAAGCGTCAAGTATGGATGCGTGAAGGGATGGAAGGCGGGGGACGAGGACGGGGATGCGCACGTGTGAAAGGGCGCATCAGTATGCCACATGCATTCATGGCCATGCGGGCCATGCCCAACTGCGCCGCCACCTAGGAAGCCCGCCGGTGATGATTGGTGTGTTGAGGTGACCTCGGAAAGCGCAGGCAGCCTCACGCTTTGGGTGCTGAAGGCGCCTCATCAGCATGCACAGGCGGGAATGTTCAAACATACGAGGGATAAGAGAGAAGAGATACAAGAAACCTCGTATAGACGATAGCAACCGCTGCTTCTGGAGGCTCCTGGGGGTCCATTCACTCATCATCTTCTGACCCTCTGACCATGACGATGTATTCAACCCATCAATGGACTGCCGCGGAATGTACGGCGTACGGCTAACCGTAGTTTTTCAAAGGCGGCTAAGCGACACCTACCAGCTTGCCCGATAGAAGGAAGTGGATGGGGAACTCTGGTACATGGCAGGTACGACACAAAGAGGAACTCATTACTGCCAAGTGGCCAATAAGCACGAGTGCAGCCCTGCTGCCTACCTACCTACCTAGTACCTCTACTTGCTCGTAGGTACTACCTACTAATCAATCCTACCTGCTTGCCTGTTTCGCACCCTAACTGCCAACCTACCTATACAGCCCGCAGCGCACGCAAACCGGTGCCCTACCTCGTCCTCGAACCGCGAGCCATAGATGCTCATGCCTCCGGTGCCGTTGTCACGAGTGAAGTCACCGCCCTTAAGCGCACGCACGCACACACAAATGCACACACATGCATACATACATACATACGAGATTCAGGTCAATGTACGGGCAGCGTGTAAAGCCTGAGGGCGGGGCATGTGTAATCCCGCGACCACACCAATGACTCAAGCTGAAGCCATAAAGACTCTTATAAAGTATGCAGGAAAGCAGCCCCGCACTGGCAAGCACCAAATCAGCCTCAGTATAACTAGCAAACACAGCCTTAGGTATCTTATCTGCATGTGGCTAGGCCTGGGTTTCGTGGTGCTTGAACCGTGACTAAGGAGTCCGGGCAGGTAGAGCCGGGCTGGGCTGGGCTGGGCTGGGCGGGCTGGCAGGCATGGCAGACGGAAACAGGTCTACAGCTATAGTAGGTACATGGCCCCGACCAGCAGCCTGCGCGACGCACCTGGCACATGAAGTTCGGAATGACGCGGTGGAAGCGGGAGTCCTTGAAGCCCTTGCCCGGCTCGCGCAGGCACAGCTGGCGGAAGTTCTGCACAGGTGGCACACGACCCGTGGGTCACATGCATGAGGCAGGACAGGAGGGCACAACAACAGCAGCAGCAACAGCCGCGGCAGGCAAACATAGGGCAGGGCATGCAAGCCCGTTAAGGCAAGAGTCGGCAATGTCTCAATCCGTTACCGTCACAACTACCGTCACAATCCGTGCAGTCCTGGATGTCCTGAAGCCGGCAATACATGCGCGGAAGACACGAAATGCTTTTCAAGCGGCGCTTTACTGATGTACAATCGTTGTTATGCATACATATAGACCTAAGTCGCGCCAATGACGGTGTGGACACTGACCAGCCTCACATTGCACTGACTGGGCCATCAGTGATGTTACATTAGCACATGGACTTTGGGGGCAGTGAAGCGACGGAAGACAGGAGAACCACAGCTCAGTGCTCACCTCGGCGGTCTTCGGCGTCACGTCGGCCTTCAGCTCCTGCCGCAGTGCAGACCCCCACATGTGGTTAGTTAGATCGGTTAAGTTGGTTAGAAGGATACCTGGACTTCTGCGGGTCCTTGCTACTAACCAACACAGCAGCAACAGAAGATGCTGTCGTCCAACCGGCCACCAATCATATGGCGATTTTGCAGGACAAAGCTTAGCTCGTTATGCTAATTCCTTTCGGCAGCCGTGGCCGCGGGAAATCCTTGGATGCTGCGACGTGATTGCCACGTCATGATGCGATGGGTGAGGGTTCGACTGACTGGCTTCATGAATGGAATCGAATGCCGGTGTGTATGACCTATGCTGGTTGCTTCACTTCTTATCAGCAAGACCACGTGTTAATCCATCCAACAGTTTACGAAGTGGTACGGCACCTTCTGAACAGCTCTCTGGTACGGTTCATAACGGGGGGCTGGTGCCGAGGAAATTTCCCTATAAGATACGCATGGCTGCATGGTGCCTGATGCTGTATTGATGTTTGGCACACGGCATAGGGATGCATGTATTAGCAGAACGGATGAGAAGCCCCTTCCTGGTCCATGGGTTTCTCTTGCAGCTGAAGCACGGGTGGGTGCGAAGGTGTGTGTATTGATCCTCATCTCCTAGCCCGCACGCCTTTCGCAGGTTCGCTCCTACGCCGGTTCGGCTTCTGTTTCTTAACACCCTTCGGCCCTTAGCTTGCCATGACGATGCGGCCCAGCGGAGTTGCGTCGCCATAGCGGCCCAGCTTGATATCGAAGTACACCAGCGGATTAGCCTGCAAGGAAGCCGTCGCCAGGAGCAAGATGGACCAAGGTGTTGCACATAGTCATGATCGAAAAATGAAAAATTCTGGCCTGGTCAGCAATCCTGCCGGTTCGTTTGTACTACAGCAGCACTCCGAACTTATGTGGCTGCCGCTAGGTCAAAGGAAAATCCGAATATGGGAAAAGGCTGGCTAAGATCCATGGTTTCGTTTATTGCATCTTGTAGTATTCAGGTTGGTGCGCAGAGCAGGCAGGCGTTATGGCAAAATGAGAATCGTTGAGATGCAGATCACAAACGGTGCCCTTAGTGGATCTTCGTAAAAGAACGTATGTGTTTTCTATTAACTTACCGGATTCGTAGGACCAAGCGGTGGAGCATAAGCAACTTTCGCCTTTGCCATTTGGGCGATGGCGTCCTTGTTAGCACTCTGCCCTTGACCCATTTTGTTCTGCTTGCTCACTAAACGCGTAGGTGGAAACAATTTTTGTTGTTAGTGGTAATTTAGTGGTGCGCCAAGGGACTAAGATCCACATCAAAACATGGAACCATAACCGTATCTTACCAACGATCCTACGGCTGCAATAGTACCAACCACCAAGCCTAGTAACTGCTAATTGAACTTGGATCCGAAAACCAGTCTTAACGACGCGAGCGTCGCAGATCGTTTCCCATGGACTACATGATCTCAGCTTGATTACGATGCGCTTTGCGCACCAGTCGCACAACGTGTTGCACACCAAGGAACATCGGTTTCACCGGGCATTGTCAAGAACACAATGACGGGTGGAATCGGCGACACCGGGACATCCTGAGGATGCCCATATCTTGCGCTCTCTTACCCTTACTCCCTTTTAATACCAAACACGGCGCACCGAAGAAGGAAGCTTCATGGAAGCGGTCAGAATTGGCACCACTCGTATGTTCCCATTAGTACGCGTGATGTGCTGCTGGTTAAGTGGCTGGAGAGCTATAACAGGCCCGAATCCGGTTTGAGTGGTTCGAGCGGCAAGTCCAAATGGTGCAACACGCGTCCAAGTCATGGGGGGAAATGTCTCTCCCATTTCGTAGACCCTCCCAGCCTCTCTCTGCCGTGCTCCGCGTGCTCCGGGAACCGTACGACCTTGGCAAGGTCCATATTTGTTTCTTGCTCCGTTTGATTACCTTGATTCTCTTGTACTTAGTTAATCCTTGACATCTCTCTGGCACTTTCCTCACCCACGTATACTGACAGGTTCCAGGCTTCAAGCTTATTTTGAATTCTGCCAGGAAAGGCATTACGCTAGGGGCAATGGCCTTCGCCTTAAACTCTTACAGCTTCGTGCACCTTTAAGAAAATGTAGGAATACTTTATATTAACGCAGTAGCCTTGACCTCCTTAGTGCTTGAACATGGAGGACGCGAAAGTTATGGAGTTGCGAAAGGCAGTCCGTCAACAACTGCAGCAGGCTGGTGTTCAAGGGGTTTTGCACCAGCTGCTTCTGGAATACCAGCGGACTGGAGAGAACGTGACGCCAGAGGATGCGCTTGATATCCTTCAAGTAAGGGTGCCAGCATCTACTTGGCCTTACGATGACGAAGAGATGCTTCAAGGATGCGCTCATTTGCCGAACAGGGTCGAGGTGTCATTGACCAACTCGTGCGAACTATTCGCCCACCACAGCCGGCTGTAGAGACGCTCACTCTGGTTTCGAACGTCGGACCCACCAAGCCCGCAGAATTGCCCGCGTGAGTAAGCACACGCCTAATGGTTGACTTGAGAAGGACCTCGAGACCAGGGCTGTCAAGTGGACGGTTGGCTGTGGGCTCAGCTACTGCCCAGTTTATCGGCGCCTTAACCAGTCACCTAGACGCGATGTCCTCTGAATCCCCCACAGAGCTCATGCGCTTTCGAGCAATTGTAATCAAGCGTGTTTCCTTGCGCCGTTTACCGCTGGCAAAAGCACGTTCATGTTGACACCAGCGTTCTCTTCTCCGCCAGCTCGCCTTTGTGTAGGCTAACAACAAAACCCCACTGATCCCCTGCCGACCTTGGATACAGCCATAAACCCGCACAATTCACGCATGAATCTCGCCTTAGCCCCCGTACTTGAGCACCCAGGTCTGCATCATCACCCTCCGACGAGCAAGAACATCACCACCCGCACTGGCCCTGCTCTGCATCCCGGCCCGCCACGCTCCAACAACACCATTTGCCGCCCCCACTTCCTCACTCCCTCCTGTCCTCGCGCAACAGGGGCAAGGCTTTCCTGCATGTAAAGCTGCTGGGCGGCAGAGCTTTCACAGACTATACTCTCCGGATACCCGGTCCAGAAGAGCGTTTGCAGCTCTCCCTGGAGCTCTTTGGTCAGCGTTTCACCACGCATGAGGTCCCAGCGACCGCAGAGCCGGCGTTTGCGGGGGAGGCCTTCTTCCAGCTGCCCACAGGGCCGGGTTCCGTTGACCCACTTCAGCTGCTGGCGCTGCGGCAGGGGCTTCATGCGGTGGTGATGCAGTTAAACCCTCTGGCGCCCTGGGGCTCGGACGATCAGGCGGGTGAGTGACTAGGGGCTGATGGCCCTTTGCGGTGGTACTTCCACCTCCACCAGGCCAAAGAGGTACGGCCGGGTGGAAGGAGGGCGGCTGAGAGGTACATGGACACCCACCCATTCAGGCAGCACCACACATCGCTGTGTGGTGCTGTGGCATGCAGTTCATCGCGCTGTGACATTGTCGGGTCTTCATTTATGCATGATTTTGCGCGCGATTAACCTGCTTTGGGAATAACAGTCGACGTTCTCCGCATTCTGCAAGTCTTGGCATGACGCAGCTTTTCCCTGTTGCTCATCCCCACTCCGGCGCCAAGTTTCGCCTCCTGGCTGATTTCACAGACCGTGGCGCGGGTCCCGGCAAGGCTCCTACAGCAGCAGCAGTTGCGAACACTCCGGAGCAGGTGGCCCGCCAGCTGTCGGTGAGGCGGCTGGTGTGCGCACTCGGGACCGCTGAGTGGCGTACGGCACTGCTGCGGCGGGGCAAGGTGGTGGTTTCGGTACAGTTGGGCGCTGGTCCTGCAGGTAAGGAATGGGTCGCGGGTTGATGAGTCAAAACCCTGAAAGTGGGTTTTGGAGCCGACAGGGCCCACATAGGCACAACCTTCGGCGAGGCGGGCCGATTCGCGGGCTGCGGGGTCTGTTGGCACCCGGCCGTGTGGGGTACCAGTCGTGTGTCGTTTTGTGCAATGCTTTTGCAACAAAGGGAAAAAGGGGGAAGGGGGTATATTATCGCGTAATGTTGTAAATGTATATACGCCATGAGGAAGAGGATTCGGGAGTAGAATGCGCAGCATTGTCAGCACGATATCCGATGACGGGGTGTCTATGGAGTTCCGATGACGGGGTGTCTATGCAGCAGCCTGACTGGACCCCGAGCCTCCATGGGACCAACCGCCTCGACCTGCCAGCCATGACCTTCATTTCCTGGTCGGGAAGTCCAAGCTACACCTCATACAGTGCAGTGAGGAGCTGGATAAAAAGGACTGAACCGCAAAGGCGAACCCTCTCCAGCGCTCAGCCTAACACACGTATATGTTTCTCTTCCTGTCTTTTTGCCGCCCCCTTTTCCGCTCCGTCCGTCTTTGCCCATGATTTTATTGCGGATGGTGGTCCGTGCAATACTCACACATAGGGTCCGGCGGCGCGATGCCCGCCTCCATGGCACCCGCCGGCATGCTGACGCTGCAGCTGGAGCTGCGTCCGGCCTTCTCTGCGGCGCTGGATGAGGCGCTGTTGAAGAGCCAGCAGCGCATGGAACACGCGCGCGACGCGGACGTCATGGCGGCCTTCGTCGCGAATGCCAAGGTAAGTAGGTACGCGGTAGCCATAAAGCAGGTGGCCACTTGCGTCGTCAGCGATGCACCCTTCTTAACACCGCTGCGGGACTTCGTGGCTCTAGAAACCTTGCGGCCTTGCTTTTTTCGGCCATTGCATTGTCAGTGAAAGATGCTATGGACTAGCTGGCGTGTGGTGGACTGGTCGGTCCCTTTCTAGGTGGGCTGTACTTGGCGGGGTATTGTCAGTGCAGCGCGGTGGATATTAGGCGGATAATGATCTGCAGGCGGGAATGTATCTGATGTGACTAAACGATTTGGAGTTTACGGGTTTCTGCTAAGACAGGTCCGCCTCCAAAGCTAAGCGGGTTGTGGCACGTGAGAAACACATGCGCTCCTGTTGTTGCTACTGCTCTGTGCTGCTACATGCTACATGCTCGTCATCCCACCGGTCATTCTTGCAGGCTTGGTGGGGCGACTACGTGTCCCAGAACCTGGCCTTCAAGTCCCGGCCGATCAAGGTGAGGCTGCGGCGGCTGACCATGGCACCTAGCGCACCACCCTGGGGCTTGCGCTGCATTATCCTTGTGCTGCAGCTGCCTTCCGCTTGTTGCCACGAGACGAGTGTTACGAACCATGGCGGCTCAGTTGTCTTGCTCCGTCTCCGGATTCTTTTGTCTCAAATCACTGTCGTGCGGTGTCCCCTCCGTCCCCCTGGCCCCTCGATCCTTCTGGCGTTCTGTCCCTGGCTGCCTACGACACTCCTCACAAGGTCCTCGCCAACGGTGAGGATGGCAGCCAGTACCCGGTGTGTTGCTTCGTGCGGCCGCTGCAGCTCGGCCGCACTCTGGCAAACGCGCGCGAGGCGGCCCGCTTCGTGAGCTTGCTGCGGCGGCGGGAAGATCTGGCGGTGCTGCCCAGCGGCGGCCTCAGCGAGGTGGCTGAGTGCTGGTGCCTGCTTCACACGGTACTGGCGTCAGGGACTGCATCCAAGGTCAGTGGCCGCTCGTTTATGCCCCCCCCCGCCTCCTTGCCTACTTTTATCCCCGGGAATGGGCGTATGCGTCGGGCAGCTGTGCGTCATGTAATAGATCTGTGTATCCGTCTTGGTTGCAACTGTTTACCTTATTCCTTGCTTTTGTGTGGAGAGTTGGGCATTGTGCCAGCATTTAACGGACCATGTGCAAAGTCAGCTTGAAACGGTGTTTTGCTTCGCGTGCGAGCTGTGCAGCCACATGTACGTTTACAGATGCCAGCATCAGGACGAAACTGCATTGCTCCTGGAGCAAGGGCAATGCATGTGCGCATGGGTGTGGCTCGCGCCTGCCCGCAGTGCACAAGGGTGCAGTGGCAAAGACCTCCGAAAGTACGCGATGGCATGGGGAAGCGCATGCGCACGACGAAACTCACCCACGGTGCAGGAGGAGATGGCGATACTGCTGTGCAGCTTGCTGCTGGGGTTTGGGCTGGACGCGTGGGTGGTGGTGGGTCGTCTGCATGACGGCACCGGCCACACCTGGGTCATGACCCGTGGGCCGCTCGCGTCGCCGTGCTTCTGGGAGCCAAGCACAGGTGATTGTTAACGAGGAAAAGGTGTTTGGATAATTGCGCGAACGAACGCTCACTCGCGAGTGGACCATTTAGGTCACGTTTCGATGGCATCGGATGGGTCTGGGACAAGAGAGAGGACTCATGTTGCACTGTCGATTCAGCTGCGCCGCAGAACCTGGGCTTGCACCGTTGCAAGCCGCCGGCTAGGGGTTTGCATGTAAGCTCCGCCCGGAAGCTCCGCACGTCTGCACCCCTACGGGGCGGAGCGGCGCATCACATCACATGGCGCACACGGGACTTACAGTAGGATCAATAGCGTCGTTAAGGGACATCGCGCCTTTTTGGATAGGGATTTTGAAATAGGCTGGCAATCGGGGATCGTGTTTCTCGTTCGTGTTTTCCGGGATTTCGGATTACCATCAACATCAACAAGCATCAGCTCAGGACGAGGCGCGCCGGTTGACTATTACCCTGGCTGCGACAAACCTCGACTCCTCCTCCTTACTGAACTTCCGCAGCTGTGCGCTACGCGATCACTGACGTGGACACCTGGCCGTACCAGTCTGTGGGCTGCGTCTTCAACCACCTGCGGTTGTACGCCAACTACCAGGTGTGTTCGCGGTGTGCAGATGATGCGGCGATACGCAATCGGTCAATCAGCGCGGTTGTTGGGCTTTACCATCCTTAAGGTTCACCCGTCACAGCGTTGAGAGGTGGTATTAGGTGACGAGCAACCCCAGTCTTCATCCTGCAATCGTTGGATCCCGTCATGTCGTTTGGGGTATCTTTTCGCTGACCTGCTGTGATTCATTCACCAGGATTCAAGTAGATGTAGTAGATGGATCAAAACTTGTGGCACCCGTCCCGTGCAGTGCGATGACAGCGCTTTTGGCACGTCCTACGTGCTGGAGGATGCCTCCCTGTGGCGGGAGCTGCCCATGCCGCCGAAGGAGCTGCCCGCCATGCCTTGGTCAGTGTCTTGACGGTGGCTTAGAAGGAGGACCGTGTGACTCTTTAGTGTGCCGGCACCCGGGGCGCCTGGCTTGTGGAGGAAGCCCTGGTGCAGGACCTGGCAATTTAGCTTAGCCTGCAATGTCCTCGTACCTTCGTAGCGAAGCAGAGGGCAGGCAGCGGGACCGTCGAGCATTAACGGTGATTGAGATTTAATGTGCAATAAGCAGTTTCCATGCAGCTTTGGAACAGCTTTAGGTCTGGTTGCCTTACCGGACTTGACTCCTGCTGGTCCGCCCCCGCGCGCCCTTGTGCTGAGGGCCACAGGAGCGCCATCCCGCTGGCCCGTAGCTCCATCCCCGACCCGCTGGAGCTCGAGGCGCACCTAGAGGCCAGGTTGCGGGCCGCCGCAGCTCAACACCGACGGCAGGCGCTGGGAGCCGAGGGCACGACCGCCTGGGACGACAGCCTTGCGCAGCTGCTGATGCCGGCTTTGGCCGCGTACGAGCACGTAAGGGACCGGGACCCTACCTGTTCGGGGCCCCTCTCGAACTGCGACGCGTGTGCGCTCACCGTGCATATGCGCTGAACGCCATGGCAGTCGCGGAGGGTTTGATTTAGCAGGCATACTCGCCGCAGTCACCGCGCGTTGTGTTGCCTTGCCGCCATGGATGTGGCCCTGCATATGGTTTTGCGACAGTCTAGTCTAGTCTGTACCGTTGCTGTACAGTGTACTACAGTGTCGGTACCGTTGGCTCACAGCCGCTGTAGAACATAAAATGCAGCGATTTTAATTTATGTAGCTTTGGCCACCTTGCTCCCAAGTTCCATCTCATACCCAACTCGTATCACCAACTAGTCTCCACTGCCTTCAACCGCATGCGATGCACGCTTTCCTCGCTTTTCGTGGCTGACCGGATTTCTCTCACCGTCCGCCGCTTGGCCATGCAGGAGGCTGTTAGTGGGGAAGTAGCCCCGGGGAACGACGAGTTCCAGCAGGCCATCAAGCGAGCCGTGCCGCTTGGCTGGGTATTCAAGGCCATGCCGCAGCACCACAGCCATGTGTGTGTGGACCTGATGCGAAAGGCCATGCTGGAGGAGGACCAAGTAAGGGGCCAGGCGGGCCACCGCATCGACGGACAATTGAAATAGCTTGCACTGTTGCACAGAGTAGTGTTACCTGCACGGCGCCCTAAGTTACAAGTTACAAGTTCTGCACAAGTGGGGGGGTGTCCATAAAAGCCAGGGGGCCCATGGACGGCCTAAGTAAATTTGAGGCATTGAAAACCTAGGGGATCCTAGGGACTGAACAGTAAGCCGTAACGTGGCAAGCGGTCAATAAATGATTAATAATGCAACAGCAACCGAAGCATGTGCCCTCCTTCTTGCTGCCTCAACCGTTCTTGCAATGCCCCCATGCGCAGATGCTGGACATCCTGGGCACCACGGCAAGCTCGGTTTCGTTTGCGCTTCGGGTGAAGGTGTTCGTATACCCCGAGTGCCTTAGCAGCGTGTGGATGATGCTGGCCGCAAAATACAGCGCTGTCACGTGAATTGCGGTATATCATGGCTCCGGCAATAGATATCCCGGATCATCTAGACCCGTCGGGGAAAACCGTCACGCATGCGTGTTCCTTGGGTTGCGGTTTTCCTTGTTAGCGCTAGGGCCAAATATTGCAGCAGCAGCAGTAGCAGCTGCCGCAGCAGCACCCTGCCAATCGTTCCTGCAAGCTTGACCAGCTTGATAACAAAAGTACTTGATGACAGATACGCATCGGGCTTGCCTTGCGATGGGATCTTTTGCCAACAATGCCCCGGTAAGGCCATCGTGTATTGTGTGTATTCAATGCGCCGTATTTGGGAGCTGGGCTTAGAAACTATTGCCTGCAAAGTTCCTTGACACACCTGCCATTGACACAGCCGAATCATTCGGGCAGGGCTTTACTTTTATAGTGCTCCTGTCACCTGCACACTTTGCCCGTCTCATCTCGGCTGTGGTCACATTTTCGGTGTGGTATGTGCTGGGCCATACAAGGACCAAGAAAGCGTGACTCCTTTGTAATAGGGTTCAATAGGGTTCAATGTTTGTAATGGGTCTGTCCACTGAGCAACACTGGACCACTAGCATGGCATGTGAAGTCCTGGGCCGTCTACATGATGCTGCCGTTGTGTTGCTTGGCAGAGACCTTACATGGTGTGTTTGCCGGCCATCACCTAGTACACAGAAGGTGTGTACATGTGCAGCAGCTGGTACATAGTACGGCACACATAACGTCTCAAATATGCGCCAACACGCTTTCTCAACATCTCGGAGGCCTTTTCAGCGGCCAGCTATTGCAATGGTATCGTAACCATGTTCAATTCTGAAGTCGTCAGTTGGACGGAGTACAAAGTAGATATCAGGTCGGACGACGGGATGATGAACATTTGCACGAATATCATGATGAATATGTAGCTGTGATCGCTTGGGATCCCCTGTGTCTGAAAAACCTTAAGACCGCTAGGCGCATGTGAGTATAACCCACTGCCCCAGGGTAGGCGATGGTAGGCACAGCCTGGTGTGGCCGTAAGGGCCCGAGACGGATCCCTTCAAAGGGGGAGGAATGTAGTAGCTGGTACACGGTACGGCACATGTATCAACTACTAATACGCACTAAGGTGCTCCGCCAGCATTTTGAGGCCATACTTGTATGCGTAGTAAGGGAGGCTGCCCCAAACAAAAGCATTTTGGCCCTCATGCAAATGGACTGCAAGTATGCATAGAGTGTCCTGCTAAGTGTCCTGCGGCGAGCAGTGTGCAAAATGCCCACCTTCACGGATTATCACTCGAATTGACCTTCTTACGGCCCCTCATATCTATTCTATGATTGAAAATACTAAGTTCTGCACACTACGGAGCAATCTGGCAGCAATGGACGTTTTTGGCTGGAGGAATATATTCCTCATCATTAATGAAAATGTACGGGTCGGCCTCAATTCATTCCTTTTTTCCAAAGGCCAAAATGCCTGTTTATTCCTTTTAAGGATTACATTACTTAATTTTAAGGATTACATTACTTAATTTTAAGGATTACATTACTTAATTTTAAGGATTACATTACTTAATTTTAAGGATTACATTACTTCAAAAAAAAAACGCTGCCCCCAGGCACCCTCGACAGGACTTCGCAACATTTCCTTTTCCCTTCCCCTCTCTTTCTCCCTTCCACATTACACTTGCTACAACATTGGTGATGGCATCCCAATTGTGTGTCATCGATTTTATTGGCACAACGGTAATGGCTTTAATTTTGGCAAATGATAGGGTAGCGTAATAATGAGCGGTAACACCCAACAAAAGGACAAGCGCGCAATTTAAATAGCGGTTGCATTGGAAGCCAGCTACTACTTAACGCGCTGCGGCAGGCAGGATCCTAATCAAGATTACAAAGAGTTATCAGGAAGTCTGGCCGATACGAGTACAACAAGGCAGGCCTGAAAATAGACGGTCTGTACACGATTGAAATGTTTAAAGCGAACGAGAACGGACGTGTGATGGACGAGTGGTTGCTACAGGCAGCATAGTTATCATGTACTGCACCACGGATGGATAAATTCGAAGTGTTTCTGTTTATATGAGAGGAAACGGAATAGTGGCACCCGGAGACGGAGATGCGGTGCATGATACATCGATTAATCCTATCGGCACTATTAATATCACATCATCTCACCGTCATATCCAGAACCAACATTAATTAATAGTTAGCGACGATGCGACGATCACGAGGAACGGCATATCTCCTTTCGGTTTTAGTGTTGGCGCTCATTGCGCAGTTCGGTGAAGTGAGGTCGACGCACTTCCGCGCCGGCATAATCGAGTACCGCGTCAGCCAAACGAACCCCAATACTTTGGACATTGTCGTGACGACATGTTGGAGGTACGTATGCAGGACTTCACTGAATAGAAGGGCGATGCGGTTACTACTAGCCAGGAAATAACCATTGCAAGAGCGTTGCAAAGGAGCCACGAAAGCGACGGCGGCGCGCTACATACCGCAAATAAATTAAATGTATGTATCAATCCCGCCGACGGATGACTGCCGATTGCTTATTACTCCGTCTGCGGATTTATATAGCCAGGTGCTTTGTGTAACGACGCAAATGCCAATCTGAGCATCCCGGGTTACGCCTTTGCTGTGTTACAATGGTATCGAGACGGGACCGCACGAATTCCGAAATAAACTTCGGGTCGGCGGTTCGATTCTGGCAACCAGCAAGTCGCAAATTGGCGATTTCATGGTGTAATGGATAAACCAGCGCACTGGCGCGAGGTGGGATGGCTCCTGTGCTCGAAATAATGGCCGAGGACGTCCATTGCTAAGTGGGGGGCAATGTAACGACGCAAATGCCAATCTGAGCATCCCGGGTTACGCCTTTGCTGTGTTACATTTGTTGGACAGGTAGGGTGTCAGTCTTCTTAACGACGTGTTCATATGTAGGCAAATCAGGGTTGATTCATGTGAATTATCGGATGATCCAATTGGGCCTGAATCGGAATTGGGGTCTGGGCTGTCTGGGGCCCTCGCTCTTGTTGTGGTTGTTATGGTTGTTACAGTGGGCTCCAGACTCACGAAGAATAGAGCCAGCGGGCCAGCTGGCCGTGCACTGCACTAGAGACTAATATACAAAGTAGACAATCACCCAGATAAGACAAGTAAAGGCAATTTGATAGTCAAAACCGCGACCAAAGGGAAGGCTCAGGACCCCCAATTATTAATAAAATAGTCCTGAGTCTCAAAAGTCTTCCAATTAAGAGAATCCAAAAAGTGATAGTTAATCGTCCATCGGTGACCGCTCCCGTGAGCATAACAATTTGCCTGACACAATTCACAAGAAGGGGTGATGTTGCTACATCTTGTGGACTTGTTTTGCGAAGCCTTTGGGATGCGACCAAATGTCTCAAAGTGTGAAAGGCTTGTTGTTGCATGTGATGGCACCCAGCAATCGGAACTTAGCGAGAGATGTCAACAGTTACGACTATCAGGCCAGGTAGTACCTGCCAAAGATAGCGCTCGCTATCTGGGCTTGGTATACGGGCCAGAACGGCCTTTTAGTGCGTGCCGTCAGCAGTTATGTGATACAGGTCGGTCCGCTATGTTTTCCTTGTTGTTGTTGTTGATGGGGTGTTACACTGTGGGCGGCTCGCCCGATAAAGGACGAGCACCGGGGGCCCTGACCGGGCCGAAACACAGCGCAGGGAAGGGCGCGCGGCTTTACGACCGTCTGTTCCTCCGCGCGCGCCTCATTCCCTCACTCGCGCCAACCGGGACACTCTCCCAGCCCCTGGCTAGGCAACACAGCGGCGCAGAAGACTGCAAACCGATCTATGCAAGAACCGCACGAAAGGCGCCACTTCGCCTGGCCTGCCTATTCACGCGCTCTCGTCCCTCTTGACCGCCAAAACCAGAACAAAAAGAAAACACCACCGGGGGCAGGGGCTCTACTCGGGGGCCTCCTCTACACACACAAAAACCAGGGCCCCACGCAGCCAGCAAGGCAAGGGAGACACGGAGGACCACGGGCCTGAGACGACACACCGCAAAAGCCGAGACACGGTTGCACAGAAAAGACCAACACAAAGCGAGTACTCGCACACTGGTCCTCGAAGGCCAGCTGTTCAACTACCACGAGCAACGAACAACGAACACTTCCCGAGGGTGGCCACCACTTCCTCGCCGGTCCACTCACAAACGAGGCGAAACTGGTCCGCACGTCAGACTCCCCCTCGCTGCTCTCGCCCTCCTCGATGCTGCTCTCGGATGGCACCTCCTCCTCCATCGCACTGGCCGACGCTTCACTCCACCCCGGCCAGCACCCCCCCTCGCATCAGCAATGCCAGCCCTAAGCTGAACAGAATTATTGCGGTCTAGCCTGGGCAGTAGAGCTGTGAGTAAGACTTGCTTAGGGGTTTTGGACGCCATGGGAGCGCGCTCGTGGAAAGTTTGCCAGAAAGCCTTTTGTTGAGTGGAAAACTATAACATTTTACTTATTACTGAGTTAGATTGATAATTCGGACCTGTTCTGAGCGGTATTCTGCATGTTTGACGTACGGCATATTGGTGACACTTATTTTGGCGACGGGCCAAAAAATCTGCCATTAGAGCTTTATCCACTGACACGCATTCGGTAACGCCATACCAATTGCGTGTCACCAAAATATCGTGGCAGTACGGTATACAGTACAAGGCTGGCGGTGACATTGATCAGAAAGGGCGTAGTCATAGAGTCATATAAATTTGATAATGCTGGCCAGCTTTAGGCTGATATGGGCAAATTGCGACTGTGCGACATTTTGTGTGCCGCAATCGCATGTGAATACAATTCGAATCGCCGGAACTAATTAAACGAATAATCACATTTCCTAAGGTGTCTGTGATTGGCTGGTGAAGAAGGGAAAGAGGGGGTGATGATCACCGTGAGTCCTTGGACGGAGGTGGGCGGGAAACTGTCAGCTACAAGCTGAAGCTCTACTGAGTGAAAGGCAGAATACCTGTAACAAAAGAGCTGAGGGAGGTTATACTCGCCAGTCAAATACGGTTGTACGACAGTCAACACAGAACCAGACTTAGGGGCTCTGATCGCTTGGTCACATCTAAGTCAACAAAATGCTCCAAAAACATCTCGGAGGCCTTTTCATCGGCCAGCTACTACAATTAGTATTGAGACCTCGTACACACTAGCGACCCTGAAATCGTCTCTTCGGCTCCAACAAATCTCAAAATTGGGTTAGATGATTGTCATTGCACGCAAAAACATGTGGTAAGGTAGCTGTGGTTGTCTGGAACGACTCTGTGCCTGAAAAACCAGACAGCTAGGTGCATGTGAGGCCGGCACATGACGTACGTCACGCGTGATGTGGACTGCTCGGCCACAGCCCAGGGTAGGTGATGGTAGGCACGGCTGGTGTATCTGGCCAAAAGGGCTCGAGACGGATTCTTTAAAACATTGAGGAATGTAGTAGCTGGTAAACACTGTGGCAATAATTTCCGTTAGCACTTTCTGAGCCCCCCCATAAATTATAACCTT